TAGTAATTAAACAAAAGTTATGAGTATGCAGAAATTACTCGAGTGTTATCCATCACTGATTTTATTCCACTCAATGTGTTTAACGTATCTTTCAGAAACAGAACTTATGTTGAAGGTTTATCTGTGTTCGGTGAAGGCTGGACATGTAGCGAGCAGATGAGATGCAGTTGTGAGGGACAGAATTTCGATGTGGGCAGATTGGATTTTGGAGGAATTGGATATTCCTATGTTGGTATTTAATTAAGGACCACAGTTCAATTTGGTGAGATGTATTCTTTTTTTTTTCTCAGGGGTGAGTGCCTTCTGAGGGGTAGATGTCTGGTGTTATGTTCAGTATGCTGTTTAGTCGAGTCTTTGGGTGGACAAAGTTGTAGTGGATTCCTCCCCTACAAATGCTTGTCGCTGAGTAGCCGACCCCGCAAATTCCCCAGTTTATGCCTCGTGGTCTAGGTCAACCAGCGCCGCCTTACATGACGGTCAACTATTAAGCCACGCCTACCTCCGCTATATAAGACCTGACCTCGTGGTGACCTACCTCTCTCTTTCTACCTACACCAACCAGCCAGCAACACCACCACCTCCTCCTGCCTGGCGACCCTCGCTCCCGCCGGCGAGCATGGCGACCCACAAGCTGGTCCTCCTCTGAGCACCCTCACCAACTACCTCTTTCTACTGTACATCACGCTTGTAACCACGCTGCCTTCCCAGCACCAAGCTGCACTGTACATCCAATACGATATGTATACAGAGAGCACATTGTGAGTTTCCTTTCTCCATCCCATCCTGAGTGCGAACCAAACATCTCATAACCCCACAACGTTACTAAGTGTTTCTGTTTTATGAGTTTGAGGATGGTTGTGTTGGGAAATGTATTGGGGGAATAATGTCGACTGTGTGGAAACGGTGTTGTGCGGTTTTCGTCTCCAAGGCGAGAGTTAAAACAAAGAGTGGCAAGGATAAGTGGGGAATGTTGAGTAAAGGCAATAAATTATGCATCCCGGTTTTTTTTTACCTGGTCTTGTACAATGAAATTCTTGATTGAGTATGAGGTGGTTGATATTTTGGGTTTTGTCTTTAATCTTTAGGACATTTCTGATATAGGAAATAGATATTGGTGAAGCTCTGCCAGGACTTGCACAGTTTATTGAAGAGTTGATGAAGTGTTTTGATGTTCAGAAATTGTGTTTATGATTGTTTCGAGTGTACTGATTTTCCTGTGGCTTTTACATTGGTGTCAGTCGCGTTGTGTGAAGGCTGTGTGTGTTTGTACATATGCGTTTGTGTACTGTATATGTATGTGTTGGTACATGTGCATTTATGTATGCATGTTTGTACATGTTTTTTTGTGTGTATTCAATTTGTTGCGAAATATTTCTTATTAGTTGTCTAGTTTGAGGAGAGAGAGAGAGAGAGAGAGAGGCTTATGTCATGACTTATCTATGGGGAAGAGGAGGGTGGAAGAGAAAGTGAGGACTCTTATTATATCAAGGCAGGCAAGAGTGTCAGAAATCACCGAGTCAAAGACCAAGACTTCAGGGTATAGGTTAGGATTATTATTTTCTTTTTACATTATTTCATTATTAATCATTATTACTGTACAGTATTTAAGCTCTCATTTGTAAGTGAAGTGGGCTCCATAAGCATGACTGGGAATTAAGGATTATTATAGCATACTTTAGACCTAACCTTCGGTATGTAAGGAAACAGCATGGCCGGCACTGCACTCGACTGCCTTCACTTCGTCAACTGTAAAGTGAAATACCCATTTACAGTTAGGTTGACTGGGAGTTCAAAGGTATCAAACTAGCAACCCTTAGGACAGGAGGCAAGTGCTGTATTCACGTAGTTGCCACATCCATTAATCACGTGTAAATACAGTACTGTACAATTTATTATAAACGCCCGATGTCATTAGTCATTATTTTTTAACTAAAGGCGCCCTCCCCTCCCCAAGTCACATGTCTTAGTACTTTTTTTTTATGCCATTTTAAAGTTCCATATTTTTTATACACAAAATAAATAACATCTTTAAAATAAAACAAACAGATTTTTCATACTTTATATTGAAAATGAAATGATTGAAAATAATGATGAGAAGTGCCAGCAGAAGTACTGTACTGTATGTCGTATGAACAACTCTAATAATTAATTATCCTTAACCTAATCTATTTGGTTTGACAATGATTAAAATTTATATACAAAATCATCAGTTTTAAATTAATACATAATATTTAGATAAAAAAAGAAAAAAGTGGACTGATATACTATACATATTTAGCATGTTAAAAACGCTCCATCTTAGTCAACATATCATTTCCTAATTTCAGGAAATCTTCACACTATTCACCATTTAAATGTAGTAAATGCAATAAATATCAAATATAAATATATATATCTATCCCTGTCCTTCTTCCTCAACCAATCGCTACATTTAAGGGTTCATAAATGTCATCAAGCCTTAAAATTACAACTTCATTCTACCATCAATAAACCCAGCATATGGAGTCTAGGAGGAGTTCACTACACTGTTTTATCAATAAGAAACGTGGTCTTATTTATCATTCGTTTACACCAAACTTGATAAAAAATATGGGTCACTGTGAATTAGTTCAAACGTATGTACACTCACTCCAAAAAGTATCTTAAATGATTTTGTGAGAGACAAGACAATATGACACAACGGACAAAAAGATTTTGACAACCCTACCGAGACAACAGGAGATGCAGTGTTCATTTTGAAATTCAACAGACCCCCCCCCCCCGAAGATACTTTTGGGAGCGAGTCTACCAAAAGTCTAACAATACCATTTGGCTAATATAGTACTGTCACCATAGTAGTAATAATAATAAAATATAAAAGACAATGTTATAAGCCCCAAACATAGCAGCCAAACCTTAACTTTTTATTCTACAATGATGTTTTTTACTACTGTACTGCCACTTATGTAGTTACTGTACTGTACTCTGCTATCAACTTGGAATGACTGACTCACACCATTGCGAATTTTATCTGGAAAATGCTTGGTTCTGGAGTCAAGTTATTGAGAGATAAAAATTATAAAACAATTATCACAAAAAACTTCTGACTGATATGAAACAAGTGATGGCTGCAATTATCTGAAAATACTCAAATTAATTTACATATGCAAATTAGTATATAGTACATAGGAATGAATGTTTATAGTACGGAGAACAAAAAAAAATCACACAAAATAAAACATCAGCCTAATTTTCATATGGTGTGTACCTTAATACGTCTATAAACCACAAGATGTGCTCTGGGCAAGAAGTAGTCAGGCAATGGGGGGGGGGGGGAACAACCAGAAAATGCATAAACAGATAAAAAAAGTTTAGAGGGACATTTGAAGATTAAAATGATAGAATCAACACACCCACAGCTGCTTAGTTGCTTGTCTTCTTCTTGTCCGGAGCATCTCATATAATCCCTAGTTTCTCATGCTACACGTCCAGTACGACACGACCAGCACAAAACATAATGGTACCGACTGCACAAACTTAAGACATGATGGTATCCCTTACAAAAATTGTATAAATTTACATATCACTCAGTTAAGATTCTCCATGTTTATAAGAAATAACCTGTCATAGATCATCAGTCCACTGCATATACTGTACTATGTAACCTCATCGCATTACCATGGAGGTCTTTAGAGACAGATGAATCCCTCTAATATTACTGACAGCTGCCTTCTATAACAGACTTAAAACTGGAATTTAAACCTAAGGTAAACAGATCTATTATCAATAAAAAGTAAACTGAACAAAATAAATCACCAGTTGGTAATAATTCTTGATATATTCTCATTGCTGTTTAAAAAAGCAACAAAGTGTGTGATAAAATTTCACTCGTGTACTATTTGCACTCAAGAAAATGTTAAAAAGTACATTATGACTGCCTTATAAACTTAAGGAGCTGAGACAATAGTATGTAGACACACAGGCTGATGAATCCTGTAGTACTGTTATGGATCTATATTATTATTATTATAATTCAGCATGAAAGGCAGTGCACACAATTAAACAAAAATGACTGAAGCATCAATCTCATTTTATAGCCAAGGAAGAAGACGTAACCTGCAAGATAGTAAAACCCCTGCCAGTGATTTCCATGATCAAGGTTCTCAATATGTTCCAATGGCAGGCTACATGGATCATCTTAAGATTAGAAAACCCAATTTATTTCACCTGTGATTAAATTAAACACCCAAACAATACCTAGAGGGTAGTCTTGAAAGTGATCCAGCCACACTGGTCAATAAATCAGTAACATCTGTAAAACAGCCTCTCATCCAGCAGAACAACGAACTAACTCCTAGCTCAGTGGTTACTCCAAAAGCCAGTGAGACCTTAGGTTCACAAGATTAAAATCCTAGAAAAGTTCACCCTTCACCTACCAAAGGAGGGAGGAGGGATGGTAGGATGCAGGAAAAGTGGGATGGAGGGAAGGAGGAGCGGAGGGAAGGAGGGATGGAGGGAAAGGACAAGAGGGAAAAAAACCAGATCACCAGATCACTCATTTCCTCCCTTAAGCCATAAAATGCGATTTCATGCTTCAACCTCCATTGATGAAAGCCAACAGTATGATCTGCAAAATTCCAAGTCAGCAAAGACAGGGATGGAGATCTAGTGCCACTACTGGGCTTAAGAGTTCAAAGCATTACTTCAACCCTGCTTTGCTGGGTGAGGAGCTGTTTAACAGCTGGTGTTGAATCAGTGGACAGTGCAGCCTATCCCTGGAACATGGCAAGACCCTTGAATATAGCATAAAATGGCAGAGTTTTTCCAATGGAAGATCCATAGCTTCTAAAAATACCTTTATTACCAGTATACATTAAAACAAAACAGTAATATATATATATTATATATATATATATATATATATATATATATATATATATATATATATATATATATATATATATATATATATATATATATATATATATATATATATATATATATATATATATACTGTATATATAAAATAGAGATGGGAAATCTCTATCTGCATTATGCATATTGTTAAATTCTAAGCAAATGTTGCAATGTCATGTAATCCATAAATATTAGCACAATTGAAGAAGAGAACATGAATCAGTAAGCCTAGTACATCTCTCAGTGAAGGTAAGTGTATACTGCACTGTACATGTTTCCAACATCATACATAATCACTCACCGATGGGTCACATACAGTACATTACACTGAGTCGAAAAGGAAGCCTTGAAAATTTAAAATTACCTGACCAATCACTTAAGCCTTAGTAACTGAATAGATATATGTAATGATGCTATTTCCCTTAATATCACACATTTAATAAACTGTAATACTATGGAGTTTAATACCTTTCTCAGTACTGTAAGCATTTTTTTAATATTGTCCTGTATACAGTATACTGTACTGTATTGTACTTTAAACATTAACAATAGATATTATTATGGCATTTACCACCTTCATAAAAGCAGATTTGATATACAGTATCGTATGCTTCACAACAGAAAGCTTAACACTGATAACATATTTTGGGTGAGCAGCTAAGGTTCCATCACAAGGTTTGGTTTCATAGTGCTAATATTACAGTACAATTAACATCATTAGCAGAGTTGCTACTTCTGTTAACTGATGACTCTAATACAGACCACTAACTCTGGCCAAGAAGGTTACCACACCACTTGATAAAAGAGTACTGTACCCTAAGTGAAAGTTAACCTTCTGAAACAAAGGTATAAAATGTTATCCCTGCACTGTTACAATGAGCTCAGGTAAAAAATCAGTTGAAAAAAAGAAGTATTTTACAATTCTTCTATTCACGTAGGAAACTCCATTATCTATTCTAAGAGCAATAATAGATATATAAATAATGTTGTTCCAACATTCAAATTATATTTTAAATGCTGATAAGGTCCATTACAACAGCATTTTCTGTGGATGCTGCATCAGCTGGTTGATTTTCACAACTTGGTATAACATTCTCTAAGTTTTCCCATTTCCCTTTACTATCATGTTTGCCTCTTTTAGTTCTGCCAAGTTCTTTGTCTCGTAGGATTGCCACTCCATACTCCGAGTGCAGTTGTGCGAATGTCCGCTTGTTGAAGGTGATGTGGGCCACAGACGGAGGTGGTGGTGCAGGGCGTTGAGGGACTGTTGTGGGAGTGAGGTAATGACCTCCTCCCCCCGATACAGTATTTGCTCTCATGCGCATTGCCAAGGAAGGATCTAGGGTAACTTCATTAGAACTCTGTAAGGCAAGGTGGGATTTAAAGATATGGATGTCACTGGTCATTTGTTAAAGCTCATTAAGTTATAAGTACAGTATTATATTAATCCAAGTTTCAGTAGCAGTTCAAGATCTCTTTATAATGTTCTTATCTAATAATGTAAAGTATGGAGTACACATGAGAGCAATCACACACATTTATTTAAATAAATTAGTCATGGGTGAGTTCCACATATCAGCAAAACTTGGTCTGACTGTACATTACATGAGATTGCTAATCTCTAAATATGTACATAAATCTTGAAATACAATACAATGGTCTAATGCACCTACAATACTCATTAAGAAAAGAACCATATCTGCATAGTACAAATAATCAAAATCATCCTGAATTTGGGGAACATTTGGATTCATAATACATCTGTCTTCAAAACACTGCCATAAAAACTCTCCATTAAACTATGATCACAATTACAGTACTGTACTTTAATACTGTAATGCACCCCCATTCATAACATAACACTACAGTACTGTTGTACACCCACACGCCAGGTTTATTATGCAATACCCAAGATGTTAAATTGACAGAAAAATAAAATAGCCACGAAATAATATATCTAAATACCAAAAAAATATATCATACTAAGGTAGCCAGAAAATAACATGCTATGATATAAAAAACAACAAAAAATATCATGCTAAATCTGTCACATAATTTGGGGCCAGATCACAGATACAGGAGGAAGACAGAAAGAGAGAGACAAGGAGGAGGAGGATGAAGAGAGAGAGAAAGAAAAGAGACAAGGAGGAGAAGGATGAAGAGAGAGAGAGAGAGAGAGACAAAGAGGAGGAGGATGAAGACAGAAAGAGACAAGGAGGAGGAGGAACTAGCAAGACACTAAAGCTGAAGTGTCTGTAGTAATAACTCTCACCTGTGTTCTGTTGAATGGGTTCTGGCGCTGGCGTTGAGGGGCCTTGGGAGGATGCATGTTATTGTCGTCACCTCCCTTCCCTTGTTTCTCTGCATCTGGAAATTGACCCCCAAAAAGAAAGAAAAAAATCACAGGATATAATTATCAAACAGATGAAAGTGCAAGTGTCATGTGGGATACTGTACTGGTGTGTGAATCAGTGCAAGAGATTATGACTGAAATTTTTTTTTGGATTGCATGCCATTTAATATCCATCAGAAATATTCCATGATGTAAGTAGAATTATGAATATGGAAATTCTAGGAGTTATTTGGTTCCTCTGAGTACAAGTTTGTCAATTGAGACAAAATTTACAAAGTACCCTGTATTAGCATTTATAATGATTTACAATGGTTATGGGAGTAAGGCATGCAAGCAGTGGACACTTGTGGAATTTAAAGCAATATGAATGAAATATTTATATAAAAAGTCACAAAGGAATTTCAAAGGACTGGAAATTGCTGACCAGTGGAATGAGATGAAACTGGGAGAGCTCACATACTGTAGACACTACTGGGCCTCAGTTGCCACACATCATGATACAAAAGCAACTCCTAATTAAATGCACATCAGAAAAAGTGCTTCACATTACTAGGAATCCACATCACACTATATATATGTATGATGAGATGCAATAATGACATTCCTTATCCATAAACATATAAAGAAACTGGATATGAAGAGAAAAAACACTGAGTTTAAGTGAAAATTGACAGATGGGAGGAAGGAAGGTTGTAAGAATGTCCAAGTATGATTAAATGAAAAACTAAGGAAATATTTGGTCAGGGTGGAAGATTTTGGGAGAGGTTTTACATAAAGCCACCTATGGTACACTTCAGTGGGTTACTGCGTATAGAATTTAGAGACAGACATGATAAGAGGCAAGATATGTCACACTGGGGGAGTCGGTCCCTTTGGCTAATGGTGCTCATGCTAACAGCAGCATCACAAGGCATCTAAAGAATACAAAAACTCTTCATATCTTTCATAGTTGTCATATATACAGTGTGTTCCAGATAAATGTATACACACTGCCTTAAAGATTTTCATGGAGATGTAGTGAATGTTTGGATAACATCTGCAGTATTATCTTCATTTATTGAAGAGCTCAAACATCAACAAGTGATGAAAAAATTGCTGTTGTAAGTACAAACATTCAAGTGATCTCCATGAAAATCTGTATAGCAGCGTGTAGAAATTTATCTGGGACACCCTATATGCAGGTACTGTACAGTATATACAGTACTGTATTTATTAAGCTCTAATTCTGACCTGATACAATAGTAATAGGTGAGCAGCCTGAGTGTAAGTTATGGCTTACTGCCTGATATTCTGATCAACAAGACTCCACCTGTAGAGTAAATTCTATGTCCCTTGTATCTAATGTTCACAACACACCAGAGTACACACAATACTTCATTACCATTGTGATGCCCGGGATTAACTACTGTGCTCTCAAACATAATAGAAAACAAAGTGCTAAATTAATATAAAAATAACTATCACTTTCTTCTGGCCCGTCTCTAAACTGTACACCAAACCCTCCCCACACTGATATCCTACAATGGTAAAATATTTTTGTCCTGGCCAGTCAATTATAGCAAGCCTGTTTTCATGTATGTGTGTGTGTGTGTGTTTTAAGATACAGTAATATTTCCGTGGGCCGGAATCCCTCAAACCCAGAACTCTCTGATAGCCGGAATTGAAATTTTCTCGGAAATCGTTCCCAAAGCCAGAATTTTCCGGAAAATTCCAGCTTTGGGAACGATTTTCCAGAAAATTCTGAGAAAATTTTCCCAATACTCATAAAATTCCAAGGATAGGGGAGTTTTTTCCAGGTTTGAGAGATGAAAATCATGCACATTTTCTGGAAATTCCGGTCATTTTTCCGTTACCCTGAAAATTCCGGGGATGAGGAATTTTTATCCGGCGTTCAGTCGTCTCATTACCTGGAAATCTCTAATTCCCAGAAGTGCTCTGCACCAATTGTTCCGGCTAACGGGGATATCACTGTACTTGATTACAGGTCTTACCTTTAAAACTGTTAGAGGTACTTTGAGATTTCACTATTCTTTGTAACATCTTTGTAACATTAGTTGACACTAATCTGTTTTTATTAATATTAACATGTAAACCATTATAACAGATACACTGACAGTCATCATGTGCCTCAGAGTACAACTTGAAACTCATTTCTAAACTTCAAAATTGCTAAAGAAATTGCAGTATACAGCTCCTCCGAGACTTACGACGGGGTTAGGGACCCAAATCCAGGTCGTAAGTCAGAATGGTAGTACGTCGAAAATGCTTAAATAATACCTGTACATAGAAAATCTATAATGGGTGTCTCTTTTTCTTCTCAGCACCACAAAACTCTCAGTTTTAAGCTTGCCAGCCATTTTAAAGTGAATTACAAACGGAACTTTAGTCTGTGTACTGAAATTGGGACTCGAAAATACGTAATTTGACAAAATTTTGGTACGACTGAGGCAGGTCGTAAGTACGGGTGGTCGTAAGTCAAGTAGGTCGTAAGTCGGGGAGGAGCTGAAATTATAAGTGATTCCTCCAACATTTTCTGTTTCATCAAAATAAAAATTATTCCTTTTTCTTAAACCAAATACTGTAAACCAAAACCAACAATGGGTCACACTCTAAAACACTCACTACAAAAAGAATTAAGGAGTTGTAACAGAAAATTTCCTAATTCCGGTAGCTTTGAGGAGCATAACCCTACAGCAGTAAGCATCATCACTCAGAAAACAACTTGTCCAGTAACTTTGTAGTTGGTTATATTCACATAAAACATGACCAAAGGTCACCTGAAGATGAGAGCCCTGCCTGTAGCTTTCTGACAATTGGGGACCACAAATCCACCAAAAACCATCATAGTGAAACCATCTACAGTATACACATGCATTTCCCCAATCCCTACACAGTACACCATCTGTACCAAGTTGAGACAAAATTCTGTAGGGTATTACTGTAGTAGCACAGTTGGTTTTAAAAATTTTAATTTGACCACACACACACAAAATTACAGATAAGCATGGGTACGTCACCAAAGAATGGGACTAAATGTGGGGATATATGTGCAGTCTCGTTCAAGATTCTTCGAACACTGCTGGAAACAGCTAGCAACTCAAGGCCGTTTGTTTACTATAGTAAGCAGTATAATATAATACGAAACAACAAAGCCCAACCATTAAATTAAGCAACGGGGAACGAAGTAACCAATCACTGATCACTTTAACATTTCTTCATAATTTTTACTACGTACTACAGTAAACAAACGGCTTTGAGTTGCCAGCTGTCTCCCGCAGTGTTCGAAGAATCTTGAACGAGACTGTACCTGTATAATGCAGAGCTATATGGCAAGTTACACTTATCTCAATTCTTGGCAAGAAGTGATCAGTTAGACTGAACTGAAACTTTCAATGTCTTTCTCTGAGGTTTTAGATCTTCAAAACAACATATGTGGTTAGAACTGCTTCTGTTACAACTGTACAACTGAATGATATGAACTAAGTGGACACAGTCACTATGTTACACAATGGAGAAAACTTGAGACCTTGAGTGAGTTGAAATATTTCTTATATGAAGTGTCTATCACCTGTTGGTGCTTCACACTAACAGTCATACCATTGGCATTATATACTGAAGGATATCTACGTAGATAATAACTTGTGCTAATATTACACAAATCATAAGCAAAACTGTCCAATGTGCAGTACAGGTACAGTACTTCATTTAAGCACAAATACTTAAGAGTTGTCAACTCCTGCTGTTATTAAACTACTACAGTAATAGAGAAAATTAAACAATGAGATTGACAAGAAAAGGTACCGTGACCGACATGACAGAACAAGGTAGAAGGAAGAAAAACGGAAGAATAAAATGCAAAATATCACAACCATCAGAGCCCCACTGACTAGCCTGATCTATAGACAGGGGACATGACATGCTCCTGCCAAAGGTTACACTATCCAGCTGGATAAGAGTAAGTAATGTTCACAGTTCCACATCTAGTGAATCAACTTGGGCAGGCTGGTGAAGGCAAGCTGTCATGGTGGTGGTATCACAGGTCACTTGTTGACAATTTCTAGGCTACAAAAATTATGCTGGTAGGCTGGGTTCTTAGCCATAGGTAGAGTGAGGGGAGGACAATATTTGGTTGGCATTAGCATAACTTTATTTATAATCAGGTGCAGAGCTTGTGTTTATATTCATAGTTTAAGACTTAAAGTACTTCATGAATTATTTTTTCTCATGCAATCATACAAAATACATTCACTGTCTGTCTCTTTTTATTTCATCTTTAAACAAAATTACTTCTTCTCAGCATGAAAGGTGGCTCATTCAAGACCTCCTCAGTACTTCAGAACCCATACACTGCTGAAGGCAAATATCCAACGAATTTCTGGTGGTGACTTGAGTAAACATCTTGTGGGGAAAACTGCATGAGAGAGCCAATACAATCAAGTAAAGCTAAGACTAATAAATTCTATTCTTAAAATCTTAAAACAAAATCTCATGAGATACTAATTATACAGTAGTATTTGTATTTAATATCTCCTATACCATATCTACCACTCACCAAGGGGCATAAAAAATGTATTTGCTTTAATTATAAAAAAAAAAACCAGTACGGTACCATATTTTTTGGAAAAAGTGCGACAGGCTGGACAGTATCACTAATAATATAAACTACTGTATAAACACACGAGGTTGGTCTGGTCTAGACAGTAGCAAATAGGGTTCACAATATGTTGACCTTACAAGTCTGAACCACAAAGCTGAGCAAAACTGATGAGTGTTACTTGCCATTGTGAATGAAGAACCTGACACTCTTGCTCTCTTGGCTCCTGGTCTACTAAATTCTTTCCCTCCTTGGAAGCTTCTAACATAACTCAGGGAAAAACAGTGTAAATATTGGAAAAAAAAGTAAAAAAAAAACAGAAAGACAGAGAGAGAAAATATGTCAGTTTTATATTTGTGTGAAGACTAAAGCAACACCTTCTACATAGTATATACATTAGTGACACAATCTTATAATATTCATGATAATATCTGTACAGTGCCATCAACCCACAGCTGCATATCCCCAAACAACAAATGTTCATTAGACACTGAAGAAAAAGTTCTCTCACAGAACACAAAAATCTTTCTCTCATAACCCCTTGTACATCCTGCACAGTAGAAAATGACCTGTTCTATTAGGACTGTATACACACCTTACAGTTACACAATTTATACTTATCTACTTTTGCAATGTATAGTCAACTATTAAAGTCCATTCACCTCTCCCCTTGAACTACAAACCCTGAGATTGAGATTCATAAACTCAAAGGAGTAGACTGATACATTATTCTGTCCATAAATACTTCAATTTCATGAGTCTGAATCTCAGGGTTCATAGTTCAGGTGGGAGAGGTGAACGGACTTTAGTAATTGACTGTACAACTTTAGGATAGAGAACAATAACAATACATGTACATTCTTCCTCCGACATTGCCATTACTGAACATCTCTATACCTTGATGTGTCTGAAATTCATATACAAAGCATAAAACAATGTCAGAATTCTGAGTGTTGGATTGATTAGCCTAAGTGAAGCTCCTGTCTACTGCCTGTACTGAGAGCCTAGTTATAGTCCATCATGATTCAAGGGAATAATCCTGTTTGAGAGCCAATGAACCTTGTGACCTTGAAAAAATAAGTTAATGGCATTCTTCTCCAATCCCAATCTGGTCCACAGGAAGATACATACTTGGTAAAAATTTTGAAAGCCTCACTCTCATCTTTCATGGCAGTTAAATGTGGTGGTGTACAATAAAGAGAAAGATAGTTAGATGGATGGACAATCTGGCAAACAAATAGAGGGATTACTAAAGGACAGCCTATGGTGCACTAACTAGACAAGTTCTACTAAAGGTGACTTTATCTTGCCTGTACAGGTACAGTACTAGTGTAATAATTCAAACAAAGATTTAGGATTATGTTGATAATCAAACTAGACCCAGATAATATTAATTTTATGAAGCTACAACCCAAACTACCCATTACCCAAGGTGTTTAATCATCAGGTGAAATAAGCTGGAGGAGGGCTAATCCTCATGAGAAAATATATACGTATAGGTCTTTTATAAACCATTATCCATAACCTTGATGAAACTTTTGAAATGAGGGGGCAATAATTTAATACTCCAGACTTCCATATACAGTATCAGTACCTTAAAAGACTCATGTACCATTAGTAACAAGATTTTTTTTTAGCCCTGTAATATTGTTTTCAATAATATTACTTGGATAAATATTGATTTAAAACTCTCACATTACTCATTAAAAAATCTTGTAAGGAAATTTATAAAAAAAAAGACATGAAACACATGAAGATTAAGACACCCAAGCTTATTTCACTTGATGAGTAAACACACTAATGCTACTTGGGGTTAGGTTAGGTTAGTGTCAAGGATAGGTTATGTTAGATTAGGTTGGGTTTGGTTAGGTCGTTGGGTTAGATTTCAATGTTAAATTAGATTGGATTATATTAAATAAAGCTAGGTTGGTGTTTGGGAGTTTAATCCTCTGGTAAAATAAGGTATGGGAAACTACTGTAATCTTCATGTGATCTGCTAATCCCCCAAGAGTTTGAATGTGAAGATACTGACAACTGAAGCATCCATCTTAGAGCAGAAGGAGCTAGTAGGCATACGACAATTGGGCACAGTGGCATAAACCTTGAGGATAAACATATGAACTTCCACCCATTGAGTTAAAAAGTATCTCAAATAGGCAAAGTAAAATTAGCAGTCATAAAAAGCAAGAAAGATCTTTAACTGAACTTCCACCAAACAAAAATATATGAGTCAAGAAAATAGAAGCATAAAGTAGAAAAGATAAAAGATGGAAAATTTAGTAAATAGACATCGAGTGAATGACTATATAATTAACAATATGGATGATCACCTGAAGATTAGCCCCCACCCTTAGATTATTTCATCTTAAGATTAATTTAATTACTGCAACTCTACCTAGAGGGGAGGAGTTAGTTTGGGTAAGGTTAGTGTTGTGTCAGGTTAAGTTAGGGTGAAAAAAATTTTCACCTCTGGGTGCCGGGTAAGCTACCTGACTACCAGCCATGATGACTTGGGTACACGACAGGTTCTGAGATTCTACATAGTCTTAGGATGGTTAATCTTATGGTGAATTAAGCTTTGGGGCTAATCTCCAAGTGATACAATAAAATTCCTGATAGTACAGTACATACAATACTAGTAAAATTCAACAAGGTACTGTATATATGAAACAAACTTAAAGATAAAGCTATTAGCATGATGAGTGAGAAACTATGTTAACACAAAAGAGAAGAAAATTCAATACTTAAAAGTCAACTCCAAAGAACAAATACACCTCAGGTCTGATGTCATTAACATACTTTCACATACACAAAAAAACAATTTCAAGAAATGCACTATAAGTTTTAATGTTTGGTTTGTATACTGCAGTGTATTTTTAAACTATTGTTTGATGTTCATGTACACTTACTAAAAGATTATTCTGCACCTTTATGGGGTTATACAATATGACACACCAGACCAAGAAATATGATAACACTCATCACGGCTTCTGTCGCAGTGATCGTTGAGGATGGTTTCAGGGCCAAGGGTGCAGTATATTTTTTTTACTGAGTGCACGGAAAAATGAGCTGGGTCCATACAACTACGAAATTGGGCCTTTTGTTTTAACCTCATACAGAGTGCTAGAAAAGTCCCTGTGCACCTGCAATAATTAACAAAATAGTTGTTCCTTTACAGTTATATACTATTCCTTGTTGCACTTACAGTAAAAACTGGAAATGGTTACAGTAAATGTTGGAAGTGGACACCATTCCCAATATTTTCTGTAAGTACAACAAGATAAAGTACGAAGGTATAACAAGGAACACCTGTACGTATAGTTAATTATTGCAGGTGCGCAGGGACTTTTCTAACACCCAGTAGTTTCAACCTCCGATTGTTATTGATAATTTTAATAAATTACCTGAATTAAGACTGACCAGTTATATATATATATTTATGATACCAATGAATTATAGTAAACAATTCATTATCATTCAATAAAATGCAAGATTTGCAGAATTAGGTATTTGGCAACACAATGTGAGGCCTGTACTGTACTGCAATATATAAAGGTGAACCTGGCAGAGGTATCAGTGGTTTCCTGGCTGTCAGTGGATGAGTGTTTGTGGTTATATGGTTACTGCAGCATTAGTCTTTTTAAGAAGATTATTTCCAAATAGTGAAATAGGCTGTACAGTGAAACCTGACCAAATCAAGTAAATTATGAAGGGCTCTTGAATGATGCAAAATTTGAATTAGCTGTACAGTTATTACAATAAAAAAAGACAGGAATACAATTTTGTGCATTCCACAAAAAGTACAAATAAAAGGACAGAAAAAAAAATATAGGACTGGAGTTGACCTTTAAAGGATACCTTACAAAACATAGTACTATAAGAAAGCAGGACACAACAAACAACACCAATAAACTGAACTGCATAAAGAAATAACAGAAATACAGACACAGAAACAAGAAGTAAGACTGTCTATTGTAAGCATTATTAAAACTCTGGTTATGGAAGGAGAATCTCTGCATACTATGATAACTTGGTAATGATGTTGATACTAACCATTTAGTTCATCTAACTGTTTCTGCAGCTCAGCCACCATTAGCTTGAGGTAGTCATAGGAAGCACGAGCAAGTGCCTTCATCCATGCTTCCAGAGATTCTTGAGAGTCAGCTGCAAGGACGTAGGTTCTCCCTCCCCCACCATGAAAGAGTAACTTGAATGTGAACTGGTCCTCACATTCTGCCAGTTCTAGGGATAGAGTAAAAAAACACACACACAAAAAAGATTACCAATATGCATTTTATGTAAATCCAAAAAAATCCTTATCATGCCAAACTTCAATGTTATAGAGCTAGCTTTCAAGAATGCTACTTCCTTAAAGCTTGTGTAAAGACAGAGAACCTCATCTGTGGGGGAACTGTTTCACCATGTGCTTTCCTTTAGGGAGATGACTACCATAGATATATGGTATTAGTTGGAATTATTCACATGATATTTCTCTACTGTAACATGATTATTGATAAAGCATTGTTGGGTAAAATTTTACATGAACTATCATCATGTGTAAATACTGTACTATTGTCCATTACAAAGTAGCAAAAATATAAGTCAAGAATATTCAGAAGACTAAACAGTACTTAAGTTGCTGAAAACCTCAGTCCTTACTTAACAATTAATATGTCACATCCACACACAAATATGTTTCTGACTTCTTATACGAGGATACTTACCAATAGTACAGCCCTCAAGAATGATGACACCAATGGGTTCTCGGTCACCTTTCTTTTCAAAGTAAAACAGCAAGTTTCCCTTCAAAACAAACCATCGTCTCTGGAAACTTTTATTTACCTGAAAAACAAAAAGTAATTACTGTACTAGTAATACCACATGGCTGCATCAATAAAGTACTGTACTACCATTACAAGCTCACTAGAGAACATACTTGAATATACTGTACAAGTACTGTACTATAATTTTCTTTGGAAGTACAGTACAATATTTGCAGTTGTAAAATATACAGTTAATACATATATACCTATAGTATACTGCATATTTTCAATATTAACCCATAAATGAAACTCTCACCTCGCCCTTCTTCTGCAGATATCCTTCTTTATCAATCTGTGATGGAGAGATACTGTATGCACACAAATTTTTTTCATTGATCTTCATTTTGAAGAGCAAGGGCCGTTAAATTCTAAGAAACGATGTCGTCAGTGAGGAAAATCTGAAGAAATAAATGAGTTCTAAAGGATTATCACATTCTAGCTTTCATTACTATCCCCTCCCACAAATAGTAAAACATGCAAGGCCACGTAAACATCTGGGTATCTAGCATGTATGACTACTGGTAAGTTTTGTAAATTATTCGCTATCTGTACACTGTATTAGGAAAAATCCACATGACAGGGAAGTATTAATATTTGAATAATCAAGTCAGTCAAACTTACTTGTAATAATTGAACTACCTAACAGCAAAATATCATCATTTCACAGCAAATAACATTATGTAATACTGTACAAACTCTTCCTGCTTAATGATCTACTACACTATGTCAACACTCTTATACTGTACTATGAGCCATACAAAAGTTTCAAACACCACTAAACACCCAACATCAAGTCACTGTATCTTTCTCTGTTTATAAATTTCCTACAGATATCAAAATATTATTACAGTATAAGGATCAATTCAATAATCTCCACCCCAGCTTATTTCATCTAAAGATTAACCATTCTAATGCTAACCTAACCTCACTCCCCCAAATAGTTAGGATGGTTAATCTTTAGGTGAAATAGGTTGGGGTATTACTTACCTATCTAGGCATTAGGGTGGTGAAAATGATGACTCTAGTTTATAAATTATCATTCCTTTAATGTCTTTGGTTCTTTATTGTGATAACTTGAAGCTATCCTTGAATATCCACAGAAGGGGACACTGAAAAAGATAATTATGGCCATGGTGAAATTTTTTACAGAAATAACTTAAATTTATTAATTAAAATTTATTCAGTAAAATCACTATACAAGATTACAAAGTCTAGGAAGTATATAAACAATACATACAAGTATATAGGTCAGCATGCAAATAGACAATGCAGGTATACATAAAGTGTACATAGACTGTAGCCAGGCAAGTACAGTATACTATTTCCAATGTGTCTTTCTATTGACTCGGGCACAACTTACTGGTGGTATCAAGCTACTCTTTCATCAACCACCTGATTATGACTAAAACAGTCAAATCAAGGACCACCTGAAGAATCTCCACCCCAGTGCCAGCCAGAAGAATTCTCCCTCCCTACAACCTAACCCAACCTAATCGAACATTATGTGAAGTAGTGTGGATCTCAGGTCATGTAAGTGTGTACATCAACTATACAGGTCACATCAAGGTCACAGAGCCAACACACATTTGATCTGACCTCACCTGAAGAATCTCCACTCCAGCCCACTCCACCTTAAAAATATCCACTCCAGTGCTAACTGAGGTGATCTAAAATCGGTTACAGTCCAACTCGGCCCATCATATACCAACTCAGACCACTTTGGTTAACGAACTCGGACTAAAAAGTAAAATTTTACACATTTATTTTTGCATGAATGATAAAAGTACAATGATAAAAAGCAGCATAGATTGTAAGTGGGGGGGAGGGGGGGAATTGATTTTGTTATTATTTATCTTTTCATTCTATCTTATTAATATATTAATGTACATAAGTGGAAGAAGTTACAACCATTGCACTGGAGTTCTTCCTGTTGGGGACGTATTATTGCCATGCATACCGAGCATTGGTCAGCCATGGTCAAGACTCAGAATGTGACTAATCCTGTAATCTAAAACCAACACAGAAGGCGACCTCACTTTGCCTGGAGACCTGACAACGATAACCTGACAAAATATGACGGTTGAGGATAACCTGACCACAAGATTTGATGTTGACGAGTTCCACAGCAATTTACATAACGAGTTACTTAATGCACAAAGGCAGGACATACCATACAGAAAACTCAGATCAAATAACAATGACCCCAAATAGGTAAATAATTATTTAAATAATATTATTGGCCAAAGGAAGGCTATAGGTTGGAGAATAAATCGTGAAGCTTACCTCCGAGATTATTATAAGGTATTGGCCAGTAGGGTTAAGACCGAGATAAGAAAAACAAAGAGGAATAATGAGCTGAAGGTAACAAGGGAGGCAAAGTTAAACCCCAAGGGATTCTTTCAAATGTATCAAACTAAAACACGAGACAAGATTGGACCAATACCAGCGAGCTAACTGATAACGTCGGAGAAATGAGCAATAATCTGAACAGGTATTTTTCAACGGTTTTCACCACCAAAAATTTAAACATGATACCCGAGGCACCGACTATATACAGATATAGTGAAAAAAATATATTAAGTAATGATGTTAGTAAGCAAATAGACAAGTTAAAGCCTGATAAGTCACCAGGTCCCGATGAGATATTTCCAGAGTATTAAAGGATGTAAGGACGAGCTTAGTATGCCCTTAGCAAATTTGTTTAACATGTCAATAAAAACGGCTGTAGTACCAGAATCCTGGATATGGAATGTAATACCGATTTTCAAGAAGGGAGATAGATCACTATCCTCTAACTACTGTCCAATCAGTTTAACATCAATATTGTAGGCAAATTGCTGGAAGCAATAATTCCAAACCCTATTCAAAATCACCTAGAGAAGCACAAGTTAGGAATGTGAATCATGGTTCATTGATCAAGTTCTACTGACATAAACGCATAAAATTCGTCCTTCATACCGATTGAACCCTCGGTATTCACTCACTCACATAAAACATATCTCAAACTCATTCCTGAACCTCTAGTGGGTGGGTCGAGTTGGTCATTTAAGATGGGCCGAGTTGGAGGTGCACCCTAAAATCAATAGTCTTGGACAGTTTCATATGAAATCCAAACTACTACTGGTGGTTGGCTGCTTTTTATTTACATTTTCTAGTATATTACAGGATACTTTATTTTATGGCTGTAATCCTCAGCTTACCACATCATCCATATATAAACAATAACAATATGGTGTTTGAGCAAAGCTATGTTTCATGATCAAGGGTGTGGAGCCATGATGTTTCTCATAAAATTAAGTGAATGACTAAGAAAGGTTAGGTCGATTAGGTATATTAACACAAAACAATAATACAGTGATGACAATGTAAAGGAATACGGTTAACTGTAGAAATAACTTTTGTAATTGAACCAAAATTTCTGGAAATACAATGTTAATGGTGCTAAACACTTAACTTACTACCCAACCTTACCTAACGTCTGTCCCACTATTACCAATACAGTAAAAGTATTAATACATTGAAATATTTAGTTTGGGTTACACTTACACACATACAGTACAAGGTCCCAACACAAATGAGGCTGGACACTACAGGCTCACAGAAACCTCTACCAGAATATTGTACAGTAAATAGTTCAGACGGGCAATTGGTCTGAAATACAACCATTAAAATTATCTAATAAATCCTGGAAAACGGATGAGATAATCTACACTCACGTCACTGTAACCTGAGAAACACTCCCCTAATATTTACTCCAAATTTATAATACCTTAACATGTCATCTACCTCTTCAATACCTGCTACTGGCATTATATAAACGAGCACCATTATTATATACATTTAATAAGACTTACTGATGTGTGAGCTGATCGTTACTCTCTTAATGGCCCAGGGAATATCGTCTACTATATCAGGTTTACAATATCTGGTTAGCTGATGGACTCGATTAAATTTATCTTTAAAATACTTATATAAATATAATATTTATTTAAACAAGATACAAAACTCATACATAACTTACTTTATTTATGATCAGATTAATAAAATGTAACGGTATTAATATCCATTTCATGATCCGTAAATATTGTTTGTTTTGAGTGCTATTTGGGTATTTTTTCCCAGTACTAAATATTATACAACAAATTTATTAACTTTTGGATGGTTTTGCTTCTGTTCTTCATTGTGTTTAGTCTTTACTCCCATATAGGACAGTTTCTTAAGAATGGTAACCTGTTTATATGACACACATACACTTGATTATTTTAAAGAACATCTTGTCTTTTCTCAAGTGTGGGGTTAGAGATGTTGGTTCACAGTCAGGATGGATGGAGAAAGGAAACTCACAATGTGCTCTCTGTATATATATTGTATTGGATGTACAGTGCAGCTTGGTGCTGTAAAGTTGCAGCGTGGTTACAAGCGTGGATTAGAGCTGGTTGGTGAGGCGCGTGCTCAGAGGAGGTGTTGCGTGCTGCGTGGCTGTAGGTAGAAGGTGCTGGTCACGGCGAGGTGAGGTCTTATATAGCAGGTGAGGTCTTATATAGCGGAGGTAGGCGTGGCTTGATAGTTGACCTCCGCTTTGTTAGGCGGCGCTAGTAGCTGACCTTAGACTACGAGGCGTTGGCTGGGGAATTCGAAGAGGGGTGGGCTAGTCAGCAACAAATGGCAGTTGTAGTTGTAGGGGAAATATCCACTACAATACTCCCCCTTCCCTCCGGGCAGTGCAGTAGACTTGTTGTCGGCAGGGTTGTATCCCACATATGAGACATAACGGGCGGGTGTGTGGATGAGCCTGCCGCTATGGGAGACGACTCTGTCTGAAGACACGAGATCTGTGGGAGAAGCAGAGGTAGAAGGAGGGTTGTGGGTAAGATAAGGTTATACAGGCGAGGAATGTGGGGTTTCTCTCGCGGCAGGTACACAGTCCTCAGTGGTGCCTGGTGGGGTGTGTGGGTCCACGTCAGGAGCAGGGGCCACGTCAGGAGGAGGGTCCATGACAGCAGCAGGGTATTGGATATTTGGACCCATAATCTGGAACGGGGTGGTAATATCGACACTATATACCTAGATTTTGCCAATGCTTTCGACAGTGTGCCCCACGATAGGCTGAAAATCAAACTGGAAGGGTACGGAATTCGGGGAAATGCCCTTGCGTGGATAAAAGACTTTCTACATGACCGCAAGCAGTGTGTGGTGATTGATGGCACGAAATCATCATCTGTACCTGTCACAAGCAGGGTACCACAGGGCAGTGTATTGGGCCTGCTGTTGTTTGTTTGTTTCATAAATGACATGCCTGATGTTGTACACTCCTCCATACAAATGTTTGCCGATGACGCCAAGTTATTTTGGGAAATCAAGAACTGTGTGGACTGTGAAGAGCTGGAGAAGGATCTCTGTGAGCTCCAAGAATGGTCGAAGAAATGGCTGCTGAGATTCAATGTCACGAAGTGTACAAGGATGCACCTGGGGCGTACCAATGGTAAGGAGGCGTATCATATGTCCCGAAAGGGATGAAGAAACTGAACTATTTGAGAGTGAATGTGAGAAGGACCTAGGTGTGTATGTTGACAATGAGCTGAAGTTCTCAGGCCATTGCGAGAAGAAGGTAAATCAGGCAAATAAATTATTGGGTCTTATAAGAAGGTCGTTCAGATATCTAGAAGGTCTGTCCCTCGTAACGATCTTCAAGAGTGAAGTGCTTCCCCCATCTGGAGTACTGTCACCCCGCCTGGTCCCCGAGATATGCTAGGGACTGTCACTTGGTTGAAAATGTTCAAAGAAGGGCCACCAAACTGGTGCCTGCACCTCGGCACCTCAACTACCCTGAGAGATTGGAGCGCCTGAACTTGCCTAGCTTATACTGTACTACAGACGGGCAAGGGGCACTACTCAGTCGAGTGTCCTTACTTGGAGCTGGCGGACGCTCACCCCACAAGGGGTCACAGCTCAAGATTGAAGAAGCCGCAGGTACAGAAAATTGTGAGGGCAAACTTTTCGGAGTGAGAGTAGTGAACTCTTGGAACAATCTGCCGGAGAGTGTTGTGACGGCATTGAGTGTGAGCTCTTTCAAGACATACTTGACCAACACTGGAGCAGGTTCAGGTACATTCAGGAGCCAGTGCATGCCCAGTACTTGCCAACAGTGCGTAACAAACGTAACTGATCGCCCAAGCGGCTAACGAGCCAATCAGTGGTGAAGAGGATAAAAGTAAAGGTAAACTACAGATGGACAAAGGGCGACCTAACTGAAGTGCATAAACATCTCAGGGGGAACTACTTGATTGAATGTACATACCTGGAGCTGGCGGACGTCTGCCCCACAAGAGGTTGAAGAAGCCACAAAAACTGTGAACTCTTGGAACAATCTGCCGTGAGCATCGTGACGGCACCGAGTGTGAGCTCATTCAAGGCCAAACTTGACCAACACTGGAGCAGCTTCCGATACATTCAGGATGCCAGTGCATGCCCAGTATCTGCCAACAGTGAGTATCACAGACGTGACCGACTGGCCAAGCAGCTAACGAGCCGATCAGTTGCGAAGAAGATAAAAGAAAAAATAAGAAGTTGTGGGTGGGGGATCATGGCAAGCACAGCAAACCTTACCCAATATCATAGGGTATTTTAAGGCCATGTGCAATTGATATTAGGATAAATTCTGAGGTCAATAGTAATTACTTTTTACTCTACAAAAATTATTGAAATTTTCTGATGAAAAGGGGGGACTGGACCCCCTGGATCTGCCCCTGTGACTGATGTATGCCTAACAGCCTGGAGAGATTATTCCAGGCTTCTGTGACTTCGCCCGGTGGCCCATTAAGTCTGGAAAATGGCCTGCAAGCGAGAGTGCACTATTAGTACAGCAGGCAAAGTGACTAGGATAGTCATAAGTGTGTTTTTAAAAATGCAGTAATATGGAGGGTTGAGGAAGGTGAGGCAGACACGGGTCAGTCACACTTGACTTACTTGTGATTTTCTTTAATGTCAAAACAATATTCCATCAAAATTAGGTGGTGAGTGTTGAATAAATTTAGTTTCATATATTATTGCTGTTTATGTCTTTGTTTTATTTAAAAAAAGCCATAATAAATCTGCAGAGCCATTACCAAGGAAGCCATCCAATTGCTTTTATAGGGTAATAATTGACACTACCAGGAATATACCGAATACCGTATCTCTAGGCACCATGCTATAATGTCGTCTTTTAATGGATTAATTGTTTAAGGAACATGCCTCAGGAATATATCTTGTCTTTTGTAAGTGTGCAGTACTATTTAAGTTTTTGTCATCTTTGGTTTGATCTACTGACATAACACTAGATAAAACATTAAGTAAGCAACAGTTGTTTCTGGTTTAGTTGTGTTTATATATTTCAGGAAATGTTTATAGTAAACTTTATTTTGCTTGGGGTTTCTTTAATATTGAAGCTAAAAATTAAGTTGTAGGTCTAGCTACAGTAAAACCCTCTTAATCCAGACTAATCAGGGGAAAATCCAGTCTGTATTAGGTGAATTTCTGGATAAAACGATTTCCGAAGGGGTTAATTAATTCGGAATAAGTGTGGATTAACCGAGAAAAAATCCGAATGGTAATCTAGATTGGCATCTGGTGCACACGAACACCAGCCCCAGTCACACTGCTACAGCCATCGTGCACACCTGTACCTCCTATGGACTATTTGTGACTGGCCTAATTACCATGGTTTTCAAAGACAAGTTAACTTCTAAAGGAAGTCAGAAGAGGGCCAGAAAGGAGTCTAGCTTGAAGGACAAGCAAGAATTACTCTATAGTATACTATACTGCAGGCTAGTGATTCAAGTGAGTCAAAAGTGTTTATTTATTTTTGCCACATGATATAGCAGTGATAAAAATGTATGCAGTGTACATATACAGTACAGTTTCCCCACAACCGATTTTACACATTAAACCTGTACATAATGGTTACCCCTTGTGTTCAAGGATGGCCAGGTCTAGGGCCACCTAGGCGTAAATTTGTTTAAGGTGTAGAAGCTGTCGCCAACACAAGAACCACATCTTAAGTTAATGAGTTGCATTACCAAGTGTCAAGGAATAGTCCAAGAAGACTGGACAACTCGCCAACTGCACTGGCTAACCATTACCCCAGAACACGATCAGCAAACCAATTAACATCCAGGTCCAAGAGTTTACAATTCTCACTCTGAAAAAGTTTGCCCTGACAATTTTCCAAACTTGTGGCTTCTTCAACCATGAGCTGTGACCCCTAGTGGGACTGGCATCTGCCAGCTCCACATATGAACACTTGACTGAGTAATGCCTTCCGAGACACTTATAAAATTTAATTAAGTCACCCCTTGCCCATAGTATAAGCTAGGCAATTGTAGGCACTGTAAACTCTCTGGGTAACTGAAGAGTCATAGCACAGGCACAAGTTTGGTGCCCCTCCTTTGGATATTTTCAATCAACTAAAAGTCTCTGGTATATTTTGGGGACCAAACAAAGTGACATTACTCCAAATGGGGAAGAACCTCATACTTGAAGAGCAGTATAACCTTCTTCGAGAACCTACTAGCTCAGTTGATTGATTCACCTTTTCACAAAGGCCCGAGAACTTCAGTTCGTTGTCAGCATTACACACCCAGGTCCTTTTCAAATCTGTTTTCTGTTGATGCTGTTTCTTTGTCCTCTTGGGACATGTTTTAGGCCTACTTACTGTTGGTATGACCTGGGTGCCTCCTCTTACACTTCGTGACATTGAATCTTAACAGCCATTCCATTCACCACTCATGAAGAGTACAGATTTTCCTGTAGCTCTTCACAGTCTCTTGGTTCTTAATTTCTCTGAATAACTTGGCATTGTCTGCAAACATTTGTATGGAGGAGTGTATAGCTTCTGGCTTGTCACTTATGAAACAAAGAACAATGGGCCCAGTATATTGTCCTGTGGTACATGGTGGCAATATCAAGATCAGCATACCCCATGAAAGGCTGAGAATTAAACTGGAAGGCTACACGATTTGGGGAAATGTCCTAGCATGGGTTGGAGACTTTCTTGCATTTATATCTTCTATACCTGAATAAGCACAAAGGGGTGGCATTATTACTTCTTTATATACAGGTACAGTAGATTATAGGTGTTAATGCAAATGTTCTCGCCAAGTCCATTAGGTCTATACTGTACAGTACTCGAAAATTTGAGGTAAGTGTGGAGTAGCAGCTATGGGTTCATTGTATTCTTGTTGTTTGCTTAACAAACATAATTACCAGGTATTTATTTTAACAATACTGTACAAGGATTAAAATTATTTGGGGAAGTTTCAGCATTAGCTTTACCACTTTCACACTTAAAAAGTAGATTACAGTACAGTGAGTTCTGCTATAACGCGTGTTTTGATAACGCGAATTTGCTCTAACGCGATTTATGAATTCGGAACAATATTTGTATAACGCGATCGCTTGTTTGCTATAACGCGATTTTTGCTTACTATTTCTCCAATTTTGTGGTATTAACTGTGAATATGGTAAAGAAGAATATCTCCAAAAAGCATTCTGATGATAGAATTCCCGGTGATTATCGTAAAAGAAAGGATATAACACTTGAAGAGAAGCTTGATGTTATCAACCTCAAAATCACCCTTCTCCCCCATCAAGTTACATTCATATTTTTTCAAGGTAAAGTGTTAAATTTACTGTATGATTTCATTATTAGATATGAATGTAACATTTATTTAGACTGTGCTATCCTTTGTGTTAGGCTAACTACTAAATTTTTTCGATTTCGAGTAATCTGCACCTAACCCTATTTTCTCCATAAGCCCTGTTATTTCTATTACGCGATTTTCTATAACACGATATTTTACAAGAACACAATTATCGCGTTATAGCAGAACTACCTGTACTATACATTTGTACAATAATACAATACATACTGTTCATTGGTCTTTTTGACTTGACTCAGTATGACAAAAAATAAAAGATGAGAAGATGAAAGGCATGAAAGCTTGCCAACTGATGCCCTTAATAAACAAATGCAGGGGTATGAGACTACAATAAATATATATTTTTTGTTTTTACTTAAAAAATTCAAAACATTGGCCTGAAGTTGTCAAAGACTTTGTACACAGATCAAATGGCATTCAATCATGTATGTATATTACAGTATTACAAATGCCATGCAATAATAATGATCATATGTTATGGCAAACAATTTTAATTCTATCCAGTAAATGTCTTTGTAAAAAAAAATATTCCTCACAATGAATATCTAATCCCTGTAAAATGAAGGTTTATTTATGTGGCTAGAAGAAATAATTAATACAGGAGTTTACAACGTCTTCAAGGTCTGATTCTCTTCCACATAGCAGAAAAGTTAGTCAGAATCTCAATAAACCCATACAGTATATATATATATATATATATATATATATATATATATATATATATATATATATATATATATATATATATATATATATATATATATATATATATATATATATATATATATATATATACTGTATTAGTCTTTTTATAATTTACTATTTGACAATGTACAGTACTGTATATGTATACAGTACAGTCGTATAAATGTGACATTTACTACACATAAGCATTTCTTTTATTATACATTATACACTTTAATGATAGGGTTGTCTTGATTATTTCTTAATAGTAATCACAAACAATATATACAGCACTTCTCATCTGCCTCACAGTATTGTGCTAATAATTTAATTTTAAAATCACACCAAATATAAATTTTCAGATTTTTAATCATGGTAAAAGTTCCTGTCAACCGAAAATCTCTTCTAAGAAGAATCTATATACAGTACTATATATTAAATTAATATTGGATACAGTAATTTTATTTTACTGAACTTTCCACATACTGTATATATATATATATATATATATATATATATATATATATATATATATATATATATATATATATATATATATATATATATATATATATATATATATATATATATATATATATATATATAAATAAATAAATTGGATGAGCATGAATGAGGAAAAATGGATAATCAGGCTCAGGGACAGTGCTTGGTGGTTTGAGTGATGAGTCTTCCTGTCTTCACATGAGTGAGGAGTATGGTAAGTTATATGTTGATTGTACTGTAGCAGAGTGATGACACTTTGAAAGTTTGTATGTAGAATTAATAGTGTTGTGAGTGTGTAGAGAACTGATTGACGTGTAAAAACATCTTAAAGGGCACTACTCAGTCGCGGGTCCTTACCTGAAGCTGGCGGACGCCCGCCCCACAAGGGGTCACAGCTCAAGGTTGAAGAAGCCGCAAGTCCAGAAAACTGTGAGAGTGAACCTTTTCAGAGTGAGAGCTGTGAACTCTTGGAACAATCTGCCAGAGAGTGTTGTGATGGCACCAAGTGTGAGCTCCTTCAAGACTAGACTTGACCAACACTGGAGCAAGTTCAGATACATTCAGGAGCCGGTGCATGCCCAGTACTTGCCAACAGTGCATAACAGAGATGTGACCAATAGCCCAGGCAGCTAACGAGCCAATCGGTGGTGAAGAGGATAAAAGTAAAAACGAGAAAAATTAAGCTCTGTAAGGTGGTATACACTGTAGGTATTTGCAGAAACTATTAATATAACCAAAGTGACACAAGTATGGTAGCTACAGTATTATGGTTTACTGTATGCTTTCCTTAGACATGTGTTCATGATAGCACCAGTATCCCTTTTACGTAATTATCCACAGAAACCTTTTGGTCCCAAACTTTTCGGTTGACAGATAATTTACTGTACAGTACTACTATTTTTTGCAGTCTTTATACAGTACTGTATATAGAAACTAACTGCAGTATACTATTAAATACTTTGGTTATAATTTACCTTCAGAAATTATAACCTTCATAGACAGATTCCTTTCACTAATAATCAAAGTTCCACTTGATGAAAAAAGTTTCATGTGTTTTGAGAATAATGGATGAACAAGAGAAATCTTTTTCATTATCACCATTTGAACATAACAGGAATATAACAGTTCTGTACTATGACAGCTTTTGACAGTGTTAAGTAAAATGTAAATAAATAATGAAATAATATAAATAACTCATTTTGATTACAAAATGACAAATAAAAAATAGTACAGTATCCCTATACACACAAACCTTTACAGTACCATGCTTAGATTAATACACCTCAAAACTCAGATGAACTTGACAAAGGCAGCATCTATAGACCACTGGCCCACACCTCTATCAAAGTTGAAGTCTTAAGATGGCTTTGTATTACCATCACACCCATGAAAGGATGTAATGTTAACTGAAATATATACTGTACTGTACTCTAAAAAGTATTTCCTAAAAATGAAGAAAATGTAAAAATTCAAACTTTACTTGATTTCACTGAAGAGAATTAACCTATGGATCTTCACAAGCTCCATTTTAAGATTCTTAGAAATGACTTGTTATTCATTGACATATGTAAAAATAAATGTCTACTGTACACTACAGTACAGGTACATATCACTGAAGACTGATCCTGTAATTATTTCTTGAGCTACAATAGTACCAATATGCAGGTACAGAACTATAATAACTTAATTGCAGAGATTGATTGACCTTTGGTGAAATTATTAAAACAAATTACAGTAATTATATTCGCCCTCTTAACAATACTCTCAACAATTATGTAAAATATTTTTCCTCATTCCCAGTGTTGGGCATTCATGTCTGACAAACAAGAAAATGTGATAGCCATTAAAAAAAATTGCCTTATATCCATATGATAAATACCATAAGCTATGGACACTGTACAACATTATAATAAATTAATTCTTTGCATCTTGAATTTTCCTGTGCTTGATTACTCCATATAGCAAACAATTGCATTTCTACATTACCTAAGTCACTTAATGTTAGCGTTTGTGATTAAGTCCTTGAGTGACTAGGTACGTACTGCTATATGTTTATCTCGCCATTAAATTTGTTCTAATTGGAGCTTGTCAGTTCAGGGGGTCATCACATTCCTGTTACTGATATACAGTACAGTATAATAATAGTACAGTACTTTTAAAATCAAAATATAATATCACAAGCCACAATAATTTACAATTAACTTTATAATTTAAGTACATCCTTAACATAAGTCTGTGAACCTATTCAGAATGGCACTACCTAGAACAAATTGCCTAAAAGTAAAAGCTAAGTTCAGTAGCAGCCTCACAATATAGTTGATAGTGTGAGATTGCTCACTTCATCAAAACTCTTAAAAACTAAAAATTAATACAGTATCCCCTTTTGCTGCCTCCCACATATAAAGTTTTGTACAATGCCAACCTTCAGGCAATCCTGGTTAGCTTAGCCTGAGCCTTTCATAACAGTGACTGCCCTTGTCCACCATACACAATAATGCCAGCCAACACCACCTCGCTCTACAATTGAATTTGTGCCATATTGACCACTAGTCCAGAACATTACAAACTATACAGATATAGTAATACATTATAGTGAAAATGAGAAATTTGCAAATAGGAAGTAGTGCTCAACACAAGATCTGGACACACTGGTCACCAAATGATATACAATTAGAGTACAGTACCATTATGACAATCTAATATATAAAGCATAGTTTGTTTGTATGTGTGTTATAAATGACTGCAGTTTTGAAGATAGAGAGCTGAAATTTGGCATGGAAATGATCATGCACCCAAGATGTGTCATGAAAGTATATTTTTATGGGGTCAGCCCCCATAGTTGGAACCCCCTCATTAAAAATGTATTTACAGGGTACCTGTATTTTATTATTTCTTTACTGTACATGGCCATGGTTTTTAAGATTTAGATCTGAAATTTGGTATGGTGATGTAAACATCCTTAAGAATGTCTAATTTTGGGGCAGACACCCCCCTCCTCCTCCTCCTCAAAGCTGAAATTTGGTACACTATAGTTATAATTTGTATGTGCTCTTAATTTTTGGGAAGGGGGGGGGGGTGTCGTCAACACCATTGAAATTCTTTCTGGTTAACTTTACCTCATTAAAAACAAACCCAGGAAATGTCAGGTACCTTAACTAGTCTCAACCTAATTTACTCAAATGCAGATTTGTAATAAGTGAAAAATGCACAATTTATAGAATTTTTAATGTGGAATAAATATTGGAAATTGATCAGTGAATTGGTTTACTGTACATACATAAGTTTTAATGTAGTAGAAGCTCTAAATAAACTGTTATTGCAGTCAGTGCAACATTTTAATATACTGTACTGTACCTACACTAGTGAATAGTGACTGAGAATGAGATTCAGTAAGTCTAGGTTGATAATTCTCTGACATAATATACAATACTATCTGTATAGGCCTACTGCTATTAAAACTACCGTAGTTCCACAAGTTTGCAAACACTGAAATCAATAAAAACTTTTGTTCGTCTGCTAAAGGTCATATATTATTATTAAATTATTTATAGCTAGGAACTAACAAGAGATCATCAAACAACTGGTTATAGATTACTATCTATTTCTATTACATTAACATCAGTGGTGATATCTGCATCTTTTATTGGTGAGAAGGTGAAATCACAGATGAGAGAGAAGTGATCAGATGGGTAAGATAAGTTTGGGGCACGTCCAGGTCCCAAATCTTTTTCTGTAGGTACATCAAGACCTCCTTCAACATGTAGGCTTACTGGAGTGTAAAAGACATAATCTATATTATGACAGCAGTCCTGCTCCCCTCTCACTTTCCAGGTTGAGTAGCGTGGTTCCTGCCCTCCATGCAAGAGGGCATATGCTGATTCCAGTCCAGTAGTTTCTTCTGTCATGGTAGCATACACAGGCTCACTGGGCTCTGCATTAAAGTCTCCACACACAATGGTGGGTCGGAGGTGGCTATGTTCACTTAAAAATGATAGGAGATCTTTGCCTTGCTCATTGCGTAGGCTAGAAAGCAATGCCCCCTGTCGTGCCTTCAAGTGGGTCGTCAATACCACCAGCTGCTGTCCTGTTGTTCGTTCCTCTAGTACCAGAAGTATAGCCACCTGCAACAGTGCCATTTTAATATAATTTCTCACTTTTTATATATTCACAGATTAGGGAAAATTATTATCCTTTTAAAGCAAAATACCTGTACTACAAAAGCCTTGTCTTTAATGGTAGCACACACAGTGCAGCATTACCTTCATCAAAATAATTCTCCTGTATATCTTGAAGCTAGAACTTACCAGAACAGTTCAGGCATCAATAAAACTGAAAACATACACAGTACAATACAGTATGCTGAAAAATCTTTTGTTATTTTAAAACAACATATCATTAGAGGAGTGACACACACACACACACACACACACACCTTACACAAATAAGAAAAATATTTGAACTCTTTCTATTAATAACAATTATTAGGACCCATAAAGTTATCATATTACTGTAAGGACAATTATGCACATATATTACATAACATACAAATACTGTACCATATTGTATAAAATTACAATTTCACATCAATTTCTTTTAATCACCAAGTCACTTCTATGTCCAAGTTCTTAAAATAAATGCGAGTAAGAGAGAAATGGTAAATGATTGGCAGTAAAGTTATAGAAAGTTCCTTTCAAATACAGTACAGTACTACTGTAAAGGGTAAGACAGCATGGGAAGAAGGTCATCTACCAAAAGTAAATGAGCCAAGTTTGGATGAACTGTAATTATCATTGGGCTTTTAAGTTTGCTGAGTGAAGGGAGTCATGTGTACAGTTGGATAGAAATGAATGTTAAACAGTAGGTATGAAATCCCATTCTATAGTCTCTGTATGTAGCCCAGATTTGTCAGGTTGGCAGTTTTTATGCCAAATTTGAGTTGTTTTGAGTCTGCAGCGAACTTTTTTTTTATTGGCTGGTTTAAGTAAAGTGTGATATCAAGGACCTCTTTTCTCTGGGCCCTTCCTTCATCTCGGTAAGCTTAAATCTTTGACAATTCCTCTGTGTGTGAGAATTACGATGTCATTGGCAAGTAGATTAACGACAACTGGTGGTTGGGCCGGGCTGGCTGACTCGAGTCAAGCTGTCCTTTCAAAATCACAGAGGAACTGTGTATACATAATGTTAGGTCATTATGAGATTATAACCATAAGCGTTGTCAAAGGATCTGCTACAATGAGTTCAGCATAACACTCGCAAAACCAAATTGTGGTGGAAATATGTGAAAAAAGTCAGTGGCGTATGTTGTTTATGATACTGTATTTAATAAGAAATTATTTATTTTATATACTGTACCCATAATGCTATGCTATATTGTGTTGTCAATCTTTGAAAGTCATGTAGAGTATTGTTAATTAACAACCCCCTTAAAATGTTTTTGGTTTCGTTAATTTACTTGTTATTTAAATAAAATGTGACTACAGTATTTCTGTTCACCCAAAATCCGAACCCCTTCATAAAATCCTGGATCCACCCCTGGTAGTATAGTACTGTACAACAGTATTCCGAAAGCAGTATATTTTCCTTGAAGCAAATAAAATATCCTTTAACATACATAAAAGCAAACATACCTTAACTGTCAAAGAGCAATCCACAGAACATCAAGACATCACCAAATTTTCACTTCATCTGAAATAAACTGTACACCAACATAACTAAAGAAAAACAAAACAAGTGAAACTCAACTAACTTACCTACAAAACAGCAATCTGCACAACGAGTTGTACAAGTGGGACTTACTGACCCTGAGTCTTGAGTCATAATCCTGTATCAAATCCAAGTCCATCTCCTAAACTCAGACAATGAATAAGTGTTACACATGTTCACAGGTTTGGGCTCAGGTCTCATTTTCAAGTTATAATAGGGACTGGACTTTAAAAGTGTGTATGAAAAAAAGTGGAAATAAGAATGAAAAGTACAAAGTGGCCATGATTATAACTAATAATGGAGAAACACAAGATCATAAAGAATTAAAGATGTAATTAAACAATTCTATGCTTGGGTAGAAATTTCTTACAGGTCAAGTGCTAACTGAAACACCTACTAAATGGTTTTAGGAAAATAATTAAAGGACAAAAAAAAAAGAAGACAGTTGATCACAGTTTGCAAGGAGAGGTGTTACCACACAGTAAGACACTAGTAACTTGAGCTCTGTAACACACAATAGCTTGTCAAATGCAGTCAGTTTAGATGATTATTTTTATGTACGGATGTACACGTTCACAGGTACACTCGCCACAAATAGTTCTCGAACAGCTGGGCACAACAGATTTCAGAATGAACACTGTGGCTTGTGTCATCTCAGAATGATTGGTATGTCTAGTTGCACAGTGACTCAATAATTCGTAATAATAGAGGTTGTTTGTCTTTATAGTATTTACCGGTGAAAAGAAGTACCGTAATTAAATTGGCATTAACATTTCCTCAGAGAGAAATGTTCAGTTTTCTCATTTGTTTATATTGTATAATGCTTTGAGCGTTCTGGAACTTATTGTGGCGAGTGTATATTGTAAAGATAATTCGATAAAGGCATGTCCTATCAGCGTCAGTCACTTTTCATATAATCTCCAATGGTTCCTTAAGATAGGCCATTTCAGAAAATTGAGAGATTGATTCTGATATCTTGTTTTTTAGCAAAGCATATGTGGAGGAAGCTCCTACAATGCAGGCTACTCACTGGGGAACTACAATATGCCTGTACAGTACTTTCCTTTCTCCATATGTGCATGCAAAGGTGATTAATAAACCTCTTCCCCTTTACATTGTCCCCTTATTTTGGGTGACTAGGTGCAATAGCTGTTCTATTGGAGCAAAGTCATAAGTGGGCCAAGCCTCCACCTACACATTACTCATATTTCAGTTCCAGCTAAGTACTAACTAATCCAAGAAAAGGAGATTATCCAAGCTGCTTGACACTGGGTTGTGTTTGAAAACAGGATTGATTGTGCATCCACCTCTCGTTTTAAGCGGGGGTTACGTTCTTGAAAATCACCGCTTAATTAAAAAACGCGTAATTAAACATACTTTTCCCATAAGAATACCTGTACATGTAAATGGTACAGGTTAGGGAAACCTTCATATACAGTACAGGGTACGAACAGTGCTCTCACTTAAACCAAGCACGCTGCCAACCTCCAACACACGCTGTCCTCTCTGAAGGCGGGTGATCACATTTAATTTCACGGCCATTACGATTGTTTTTCGTGCCTACTTAGCTTTAGGCGCCCCAGAGGAGGCAGATGGACATATTCCAGACATGCTCAATGGGGAAAACAGCATTTAACACTAAAAAGGTATGTGATAAACACACAAGGCAAATGAAAACACAGAAAAAGTAGTGCTGGTATAAACTGAAAAAGCGGTATGCAGAAAGCTTGCTGGATGTCGTCACAGTTGTTGTACAGAATACTTCATTATCCTCATCATTAGTAGTAATAATCTTAATTATTACATTATTATAATAATTATTATTAATAACAATAATATTAAAATCGTTGATGTTGATATGACTGCGACTTTATAAAGCACCTCACCAGGCATCACACGCGACTCCACTGCCAGGCGAATACGTGCGGCAAATTTAAACTGTCTTGAGTGTGTTATTTCAAAAATAGGTGCGCGTAAATTAGATTTTGGTATTAATTGAACAATCGCGTTATTCTAAAAACACTTAAATCAAATGCGCGTAAAATGCGAGTTACCTGCTATGTTGCCAGGATAATTCCTGAGATAGCAGCTTGTACTTATCTGTGATAACCAGGTTTACCCAATAGCACTAAAAAAAAAACTGTAAGAGGGTCTTCCATAGTTGTGGCACCCTCCTGCAAATGTGGAATGACCTTTGGTACCCAGTAAGTGTTGCAGTCTAGTGGTGGCAAAAATTTTTTCTTCATTATTTAATAAAGGTATTGATGTTATACTGCCATATGCCTTGAAAATATATGCAGTACAGTAATACATATTATGATACATATGGTAAATAAATAAAGGCATGAAATCATAATGTACTTTTTTTTTTAGGTAAATGAAAGATTGTTTCGGCAATGCCGTCACATATAGGTGATTAGTGTCCCTCTGTCTCTGATTTTCTAGTGCTAATTTAACGTGATTCATCATTATGAATTACTATACAAAAAAGATGCAGGCACCTGAGGAAGATGATATCATCCTGTAGGAGTCAGATTCAATGTCAGAATTGGATTGTGATCCAGATAAACTAGATCAGAGAGATGAAGACAACCAGAGATTTTTGTTTTTGTTTTATCATTAAATCTTTTTTGCTTCTAATGCTGGTACTGTTTAACGGTACAGCTGTATCTAAGAATTTCTAACATTTGATATACAGTACCTTTGGCCAGTATAGGCATAACTAATGGAGACATTTAATAAAAAGAAATAACATCTAGAACTCAAATAAATTCTGGTGACTATCCCTTATGTGTCTCCCAAGGGCCTTTGACACTTAGGTTTTGTAGAAGTGGTCATAGTAGAGTCTGACTGGTGCTGTGCTCTCAATGGCTGCAAGCTAGGAAATAAAATAATGTATGAGTAATGTGTTGAAATTGGATTCTAACTGGTGGAGATAAACCTCAGCCTGGGATGTGATGACCTCTTACTGTAACTCGCAGAATGTAGCTGTTGTACCCAAATCAGGAGACAATGTGGTAGGGAGGGAGAGGGGATTGATAAACCCAAAGGGGCTAACAGAGTATATCTTAGCTCTAGTCAGCAGCCTGAACTGTATTACAAGAGCTACCTGGATTTAGGGCATAGTAAAAAAAAAAAAGGCTGCCAGTTGGCCATTCTTTTTTATTATACAGTACCTGTATACAAATATTATTTACTGTGCATTATTTATTGCAATACTCTTTTACTTGGCCAAGATCAATGAAAAACTTCAATGGTGTTGTATAATGAGCAGTATTGGGGATAGATAAATAGAGCAATACTTTTCTCTCCTAAGGTGGAAATAATGGCAGAATAGTGAAAGTTAGATTGCTAAGAACAGGGTGACAACAGTAATAACAGAGCACTTAGATGGTACAGACATATACAAGGAAAACAACTATAAGAAAGCTTGAGGTAACGGGTTAAAGGGAAAGACTAGAGAAGATAACCTAAGGTGATGGAAAAACAGTATGAGAAGACACAGATAAGAACAAGACAAAATACATCTCCTCCCCGACTTACGACGGGGTTAGGGACCCAAATCCAGGTTGTAAGTCGAAATGGTTGTAAGTTGAAAATGCTTAAATAATACATAGAAAATCTAAAATGGGTGTCTCTTTTTCTTCTCAGCACCACAAAACTCTCAGTTTTAAGCTTGCTAGCCATTTTAAAGTGAATTACAAACGAAAATTTTGTCAGTACACAGCGCAATCACTGACGTTGGGACTCGAAAATACGTAATTTGACAAAATTTTTGTGCGACTGAGGCGGTCGTCTGTCCGGGTCGTCGTAAGTCGAGTAGGTCGTGAATCGGGGAGTAGCTGTAATCATGATTTACGTAAGAGATGTCCAACTGTGCACGAAGTGGCCTCCATGAGTGTAAGTCATACATTTTTCAGAGGAATATGTAAGTAACATTAATGGAAGTCACATACTCTGATTTTAAAACAGTTTAGATGTCTTCACTTCTGATACATTCACTTAAATACAAAAACTGTCAAAACTAGACAATACAATCATCCTCTTTTGCACAACCTATACTTAAACATTCATATTCAATTTCACAGCCACAAATGTACATTCGTCTTTTTTCTTTTTTACAAAATGTTACTGCCCTATATCTATTGACATTCACAGGAGGCACCTCATATTTTGCCCTAAACTGGAGCCTTAATTAGAATTTCCAACTATAAACTTGTACCTGTATCTAAGTCTTAATTCAGTCCTCCCATAGGGCTCTTTCTATCCTGCCTCCTATTTTGTGTACTGTATTCTCTAAAATGAAAACTACGGATTACATAATTTTTTCTTTTATATAAAACTTTCTTCGCAGTCTTAAGGCACAATTCTAAACTACATAACCTCTGCTTCACATGATTATTTCTTTTACTCTCTTCATCTTCATGCATCCTATTCAATAGGTAATTGTCTGTAGCTTGTTACAACATGCACCACCACCACAACATGTACCAATACACATCACACATTTTGCCTATACTGTACTATAACATGTATCACACCACACAACATGCACCTCATTACTTACATGTACCAAACCAAACCCTAACTCAACACACTTAGCTCATTACTCTGCACAAACCAAACAGGAAAATTCTGTACACCACATCAAAATGTATTTCACGAACATAACACACTCAAAACGCACCTGGTTACTCTGCACATGCCACACCTCTACCACACGTGTCTCCTTGGTCACAAGTTTGAACCTGGTGTTGTCCCAGAAGATGGCACAACCATCGGGACCATTGTTGGTAGGCAAGTAGAGGCATGGCGAGTCTGGTTTGGGCATGAACACTCCCTCATACCCCACAGTGGCCAGAACCCGCTCCAGTAGGCTGTAGTGGTCCACCTCCTGTAGAGAAACACAAATTTCTGGTGGAAACATTAATGATGAAAAGACAAAAAAATATCAATTAGGTGAGGATGTAAAAGCTTGAGCCTGGTATAGACCTTTCGTGACATTTATGGCATTATGATAGTCGACACCCCATTTGGTCCAACAGGTGTCATCAAACTTAATGAAAGCCTGTATACCTCCCCACTACCCCTGGGGCTAATGTGTGTCCCCTGGCCTGACTCCAACCTAACGACCCCTGTTCATCAATGGACCACTCTTCTTTAACTCTTATTTCTTCTTCTGCCAGCAATGTTGCTGATCCTGGCTTTAGCCCAGACTGCTAAAGGGATTCTGTGAATAAAGTCTCAGGGATTGCCACCTTAAGCCCTTATAGTTTATTCTCATCCCCTTCAAGGGTGGCCAGGCAGCCCAAATCTGTCAAGTGACTTAATTTGCTCCAAGTTAAGCAGCTACTACCAATTACGATTTTGAAGGAGTAACATCTCTCTCAGGAGGCTTGGGTCTCTTTCTTCAAACATGAAAATGCCCTTACTTCATCTCGAGCCATCCCCACCACGGAAAATGACAGTAGGATTCTTATGGGTGTAGGGGACACCCCAAATTCACACGAGCATATGCTCACCTGCTCCACATGCTGATTGGCTATCAGACCAACCAAGTACAGACTGCCACTGGACCAATCACAGACCACCACTGGTTTCCCACACTGTTCCACACTGGGATAAAAAGGGCATGCCAGCAATCACCTTCGCTTTATTCCTCACCAGCTACGGAAAGAATAATACTTCTTACCCAGCACCAAACACAGCTCTCCAGACTCGACTAGAGTCCAGCACTCCACTGATCATTCTATAGAATAAACTTTATTTTTGTATGACAGTTTTCTTTTCCCATCTCCTGGTACTAGAGCATAACTTTATCTAACTGTGTATAAAGAGAATAGACCAAACACACTACAAAAGAACACATGTTCCAAAAATCTCCACAACCTGTACCTTGATGTTTATTGTCCACCTGATTGGAGAACTTGCATACTTCTACACAAACTCAGGCAGGGCAATCAACACAGACACCCCAAAGCATTGTGCTGATTGATTCTAATTGCCAGGGCTGAAAGGTGCAGCCTCATACAAATGGGTAGGCTCCTCCAACGTCAAGTTGGAGGAGCCTATAAGACCGATAAATGTTTTTGGAAGAACTCGGTTCTTCTTCATGCCAGGTCTTGCATGCTTAACATGATGAGACTGGAGCTGGATGGCATGATCAGGGACATTAAGACCCATGCATATTTTAGTTATGCCAATGGAATTGACTTTGAGACCGATCTGCATGACTTCGGGAGAGGAGATTCTTGATTTGTGCGAAGACTGTATGGAAAGTATATAAAGTCCTAACATTTGTTGACTCTGTCTTACCTTTTCACTTGGTCTTTGATAAAAGATAAAGATTAATACTATGCCCATATAAACCCATGCAATGTTACAGCTGCTATGGTTTTGGCTACTCAGTCAACAGCTGTAAAACAAGCAAGATCTGTGGCATCTGCTCTGGTCAAGAACATGGTCTGTGCTCCTTAACACCTAAGTTCATTAATTGTAAAGACCACAAACCTGTCAAGTAAATAATGCTTAGAATATCAGATCAACAAATCTGTTTTCTGCAAGAGTCATGCAAAATATACTACCATTGGCAAAGCCAAGTCTTTGCTAAATAATGGCAGGAAGTATGCAGCTGTTGTTTCCACTACAGTTCTAGCCTCCAGGGGCAATGTGCTACCCCCATGGGTTCAGCAACTCTCTCTCTTCCTCCCAACTACTTTGCCTATTAATTCCTCAACCCCATCCTGCTTGCTTACCAGCTCCTCCACCTGTTTATGTAATATAGAATCATTTTTATTTATTTTTTTGTACAGTATCTTGTGTTACTATATTTTTCTATGTACGTATGGTATTCTGTATGGTATTTAGCGCTTATTAAAGTTTTGTGTTACCAAACTATATTTTACGGGTATACTCTGTATAAAAAAAAAAATCTGGTAAAGTATTGTAACAATTTATCAGGAATAAAAATACCAAACTTTTTCATTGGACGATTTTTTTTATCTGGTTGATACAAAAACTCCTAATACCAAATTAGCTGCTCACCAATTATTTCGGTATAAAGAGGTGGTATGATTTACGAAAGGTTCTCCAGGAACAGAACCCTTTCATAAATCGAAATAGAGAAGTGCCAGTACTTCCTCTGGTGTGAACCATAACTTGACAGTCACATACTGTACTAGGAGAGTACAGTACAATGAACCTCTTAGAGCCATGTTCACAAAGCTGTTTCTGCTAATCATTTTCTTTGTTGAAGCTACGGTAACAGGGTCAGTTTATCTTGATATGTTTCAGCACTTTCTTGAATCTCAACTTCATTTAGAATAACACCATTGTCTTTCAATTAGAAGGAATTCCACAAGATTTTGCAAACATCATTCATGTGTGCCTTGATGAGCTCTTACCAAATAACTACTGTATACAGTACAGTACTGGACATGGTAGAAACAGACCCTGTGCAACACCATCTCTGGACTTTCCATCATAAACTTCTTTGCATGGGGCTCTGTGAAGTCATAGGTTTACAAAGCAAGAATTTCTGTACAGACTTACAAGATTGCTAAAACCTTACTGTCAGGACAATTGCTGAAATAATTCCAGATGTGTGTGAATATGTTCTGCAATGCAGTAGACAAATCTGGTGCTCACGTCAAATCTTAGACCTGTGCTCAATAATAAATACCTTACACACTTAATAAATTATTACATTTTTATCCAGAACAATCATTGCTTCAACAAAATAAATAAGGACCATTGGACCACCCTGCATTATGACCGACAATCATGGAAATGGCACCAAAAAACAGAATACAGTAATCACCAAGGTACAATACAGTACTGGCTAGTGAGCTGACTAGTGGCAAAGAGGATAAAGAAGAAAATGGTTGTCTTGAAACAAACTACAGGTACTCTTTTCTTTTCTTTTCTTTTATTCTCTTGGCCACTAATTGGTTTGTTAGCCGCTTGGGTGGTCAGTCACGTCTCTGTTATGCACTGTTGGCAAGTACTGGGCATGCACCAGCTCCTGAAAGTATCTGAACCTGCTCCAGTGTTGGTCAAGTCTGGTCTTGAAAGGGCTCACACTCGGTGCCGTCACAACACACTCTGGCAGATTGTTCCAAGAGTTCACAACTCTCACTCCGAAAAAGTTAACCCTCACAATAATTTTATATTTTCACTCTTGAAAGCCTTAACCTACTACATTATATTAAAAAGTGTCCAAAACGTTTCCTTCATCTACAGTCAATCAAAGACTCGTAACTGACTTCAACATTGCTAAAGCTGCCTCCCGAAAGCTGGGAATGCTGTACAGATGCCGTAGCTACTTCACTCCTGAGCATTTGCTTCAAGTATATAAGGGATTCATTTGTCCTAACTTGGAGTACTGCTCTCATATCTGGCTCCTCTTCAGTGCAATTGTTAGATAGGGTGGAATCAAAGGCATTTCGTCTTATTAACTCTCCTCTTTTAGTTGACAATCTTTCTTCCCTTTCTCTTCGCCGCAATGTTGCTTCACTCTCTCTCTTTTACAGGTACTTTAATGGGCAATATTCGGTGGATTTGGCATCCTGCGTACCGTCAGCAAGGCCGCTGGCTCGTAACACACATTTTGCCCGCGGTGCCCACCATGTCTCTGTGGATGTCGGACACACTAGAATAACCCATTATAGTACATCCTTCTTTCCTCACACAGTCAAACTGTGGAATGCTCTGCCTTCTTCTGTATTTCCACACTCAAACAATGTCTCGCTTTAAAAAGCTGGTTTTCCGGCATCTTCATGGCGTAGTTTAATATAACCCTTTCCATTCTATTTTTAATTTCTTTTTATTCTTATTTTTTCGCCCCCTAGGCCCTGATGTGGGTCAACGACCTGTGCCCGGGTGGGCTAATCCCCGTAAAAAAAAAAATTAATCTGCTGTGGTGCTCCTTTTCTACGACAAGGCCTAAAGACATCTATTTGGTACTCTGTCTGGTTTATTTATTTGTTGTCATTCTTCACAACATAACGGCACTCTTAAGCAGCAAATCCATTCTTAAATAAAAGAAATTATGAAAATTACTGAATAGTTTACCTGGAGACAGATGACTTGCGGTATGTGGGCAAGGATTTCCTCCAGGATGCGGTACCTACGAGTATTCCACTCCAAGGCTGTAGGTGGGCACTTGACAAAGTTGTCTGCATGCGTCCCTAGTGCTGTGACAACAAAAGATGATTAGAATAATTCCCTGGAAGAAAAAATTTGGAGAAGGATAATTTCAGTGTGGGTATCCCTCGATACATAAATGTTCGTTCTGCAAATATTTGCTTATACAAATATTCTATTCTTACACTTCTTTCCCATCAGACAAAACCTATGGTGCCTTAAGGCAATGTACCAAGTTTATATTCTTTAATTTCTTAATGTGCTAGGTGCTAAAATACAGTACTGTACAGTAATTAGGTTCTAAATTACAGTAATTAGGTACAAATATACATTAGTTAAGTAGGTTTTTTGTTGTTTGTGAAATGATTAAATTTTTTTTAGGTACTTTGTACACTGGGGTTTTTAATCTTATAGTTAGTTACTAAACTGCAGTGGTTAGGAACTAATTTACAGAATAGAATTTAGGGGAACCAAGTCCTATTTTTCCCATGTTATATTATTTGATAAATGGATATTCACTTAAAGAATGGTTTTCAAGAAACCTAACCCATTTGTATAGCAAGGGATACCTATAGTACAGTACAGTACCTTAACCTGATCTACAATACATGAATTTATGTAATCTTAAAAATGCATGTACTGGACAAATTTATAAATTAAAATTTTACCTAAGTTAATATAACCTAAAATGTTTGTATAATCTTGACCTGTTCAGTAATTCTGTTAGCCAAGAGATCACTGTTTCGTAATGGTTATTGATATGAGTTTGTACAGTCCAGTATTGTACTTCATTAACAATGGACAGTTCATAAAATGTATCATTTCACCACTAATCAGCTTACTAGTCATTTGGGCAAGGCAGTTGGTTTGTTCTTTGGTACTCTGTTACCACCACAGTAGGATAAACTAGAAGGGAGAGAGAGAAAGGGAGACAGGAGAGAGACAGAGGGAGTGTTTACAGCGAACTTTGCTGAGGTGTTAAATGTGAAACAGATGGCCCTCGCCTCGGGCTGACTAACTCGCTCCCTGTGTAGTTCAGAAGATAGTCTCTAGCCGTCCAGTGCGCTAACAAGTCAGGGAGCTAATAAGTCCTACAATAGACCTGAAACATGTAAGTTTTTATATGGCTTAACACCCTACTCTACTCAAATATATCATATGTAGTTGTTAATAGTGAAGGAACGTATGAGTGAATTAATTATCTCATACGTAACATATGTAATTTGTACTCTGCAGGTTTTGACCAAATAGAGAATAATCGAGTCCTACGTGCAAGGGTTGGATAAAAGGCTCGGAAAAGGTTAGATGAAAACATCCAGAACTTTTCGCTGAAACAGTGGATCTTGCATCATGGCAATGCCCCAATGCATACAGCATTGATTGAATGGGATATTTTTGCAGAGAAACTTGACCAACACTCGAGCAGGTTCCAATATATTCAGAAGCCAGTTCATGCTCAGTACTTGCCAACAGTATGTAACAGATATATGACCAACCGCCCAAGTGGCTAACGAGCCGATCAGTGGTAAAGAGGATAAAAGTAAAAGTAACTAACATCTTGGTCAGACAACAAATGATAGTTGCTGGTGTGTACAACTCCTCTGACAAGCCTGATTGACACTGTTGGACAGACTTCCTGTGCCAGACGGTATGTCAACAAGTGTGTACTAGATTTAAGACGGGACTTGACAAACACCGACACAGGTTTAGATATACAGTATTCTGGAGCTAGTGCATGCCAAGTACTTGCCAACATTGCGTAACAGAGATGTGACCAACCACCCAAACAGCTAACAGACCAATCAGTGGTGAAGTGGATTAAGTGCTGTAAGGTTATAAAGGCATGCTGTACCCTCCAGTCACATGAAGATACCTCATACAGGTACAGTTATGGTGTTGTGACAGTTCCACCCTGCAAGGTGGCAAGCCTGTTGTTTTGAAATCAATCATAGCATAGACCATATACTTGTCACTCGTATGAGCAATTCACCTTGTACACCCACTAAAAAATTATTCGGCACCCTTACGACGTGATACAACATGACACGGGTGCCGAATAATTTTTTTGTGGGTGTACATACTCTCATTATAGTTGTTAGCTTAACAACTAGAATTTTATTTCCATTTTTAGAACCTTGGATGTCTAATGTACTCATCTTTTTACTTTTATATTTATCATATTCGCCACTGTTCAGCTCCAAGAATGGTCGAAGAAATGGCTGCTGAGATTCAATGTCACGAAGTGCAAAGAGAATGCACCTGGGGCATACCAACGGTAAGGAGGCGTATCATATGTCCCAACAGGATGAAGAAACTGCACTATTTGAGAGTGAATGTGAGAAGGACCTAGGTGTGTATGTTGACAATGAGCTGAAGTTCTCGGGCCATTGCGAGAAGAAGGTAAATCAGGCAAATAAATTATATGGTCTTATAAGAAGGTCGTTCAGATATCTAGACGGTCCGTCCCTCGTAACGATCTTCAAGAGTGAAGTGCTTCCCCCATCTGGAGTACTGTCACCCCGCCTGGTCCCCGAGATATGCTAGGGACTGTCAGTTGGTTGAAAATGTTCAAAGGAGGGCCACCAGACTGGTGCCTGCACTTCGGCACCTCAGCTACCCGAGAGATACACGCTGTTGGTAAGTACTGGGCATGCACTGGCTCCTGAAAGTATCTGAACCTGCTCCAGTGTTGGTCAAGTCTGGTCTTGAAAGAGCTCACACCCAGTGCCATCACAACACTCTCTGGTAGGTGGTTGTTTCAAGAGTTTACAATTCTCACTTCAAAAAACTTTGCCCTCAGTTTTCTGGATTTGTGGCTTCTTCAACCTTGAGCTGTGACCCCTTGTGCGACGGGCATCTGCCAGCTCCAGGTATGGACTTGCGACTGAGTAGTGTACTTTGAGATGTTTAGACGCCTCAATTGGGTCACCCCTTGCCCGTCTGTAGTATAAGCTAGGCAGTTGCAGGCACTCTAATCTCTCTGGATAACTGAGGTGCTGAAGTTTGGTGGCCCTCCTTTGGACATTTTCAATCAACTGGCAGTCCCTAGCATATTTCTGGGATCAGACAGGGTGACAGTATTCTAGGCGGGGTAGCACCTCACTCTTGAAGATCGTTACGAGGGACGGACCATCTAAATATATGAACGACCTTCTTATAAGACCTACTAGTATACAGTAATTGCTTGATTCACCTTCTCATATCATTGTCAACATGCACGCCCAGATCCTTTTCGCATTTGGTCTATTAATGCAGTTTCTTCATGCCATTGGGACATAATATTATGATGTGCCTTCTTACCGTTGGTAAGACCCTGGTGCGTCCTCTTCGACCACTCTTGAAGCTCTCAGATCTATCTGCAGCTCTTCGCAGTGTTTGGTTCTTAATTTCCCTGAATAATTTGGCATCGTCCACAAACATTTGTATGGAGGGGGCAAAATCTAGGCATATACAGTATTGTCAATATTGCCACACTGTTCCAGAATTTGGGTCCAAACATCCAGTTCCTTGAGTAATTGAGTTAAACAGGACCGTCTCTGCGTAAAACCATGATAGCAATCTTTTACAAGGTTGTTTCGTAGTATATGTTCAATCATGGCATCTTTTATTATGCCCTCAAGTACTTTACACACTATGCTGGTCAGGCTCACAGGTCTATAATTATTCGTGGAGTGACGATCTCCTTTCTTGAATAAAGAACTCACATAAGCCATTTTTCAATCACGGGGGACCTTTTGCTCATCCAGGCATTTACAGAACAGGATCTTCAGGGGCTCAGCACTTGGAAGCACCATGACAGGGTTGGGATATAAGGAACCTTTTGCTTTGACAATCTATTTCTCGTACCCTCTTCTGAGAACACATTGTGGGTCAGCACTGTGTCAAATCGTCTATACTCAAATGCAGGAAGATTGTTTGCATACTTCCTTGTGAGCACCAAGGAAAAGAAACTGTTCAACACCTCCTCCTTGTCCTGGTCAGAATCTGCATAACTACCATCTTCAAGACTTGGGTCCAATATGCCTACTCACATTTTTTATTTCGGCTTTGCGTAGCAGTAAAACGTCTTTGGGTTTGACTTGACCTCGTTTGCAATCCGCATCATCCTACAGAGCCAGGGCGTGCCTAGTACTTGCCAACAGTGCGTAACAGAGAGGTGACCGACCACCCGAGCGGCTAACGAGCCAGTCAGTGGTGAAGATGATAAAATATAACCCTGTCCAGCTCTCACCCATCACCCTACACAACCCTCCTCTGCCCACCACCCTACACAACCCTCCTCTGCCCACCACCCTACACAACCCTCCTCTGCCCACCATCCTACACAACCCTCCTCTGCCCATCACCCTACACAACCCTCCTCTGCCCACCACCCCTACCCTCCTCTGCCCCACCACACACCTCCTCTGCCCACCACCCCACCACCACCCTACACAACCCTCCTCTGCCCCACCACCCTACACACACACCCTCCTCTGCCCACCACCCTACACAACCCTCCTCTGCCCACCACCACCTACACAACCCTCCTCTGCTCACAACACCACCCTACACAACCCTCCTCTGCCCACCACCCTACACAACCCCTCCTCCCCACCACACACCTCCTCTGCCCACCACACCCCCTCTGCCCACCAACCCTCTGCCCACCACACACCCTCCTCTGCCCACCACCCCACACTCCTCTGCCCACCACCCCACACAGCCCTCCTCTGCCCACCACCCTACACAACCTCCTCTGCCCACCACCTACACAACCCTCCTCTGCCCACCACCCCACACACACCCTCCTCTGCCCACCACCCTACACAACCCCTCCCTCTCCCTGCCCACCACCCTACACAACCCTCCTCTGCCCACCACCCCTACACAACCCTCCTCTGCCCACCACCCTACACAACCCTCCTCTGCCCACCACCCTACACAACCCTCCTCTGCCCACCACCCTACACCCAACCCCTCCTCTGCCCACCACCCTACACAACCCTCCTCTGCCCACCACCCCTACACAACCCTCCTCTGCCCCACCCCTACACCCTCCTCTGCCCACCACCCTACACAACCCTCCTCTGCCCACCACCCCACACAACCCCACCACCCCTCCTCCCCACCACCCCTACACAACCCCTCCTCTGCCCACACCTCTCTGCCCACCACCTACAACCCTCCTCTGCCCACCACCCTACACAACCCTCCTCTGCCCACCACTCCTACACTCCTCTGCCCACCACCCTACACAACCCTCCTCTGCCCACCACCCTACACAACCCTCCTCTGCCCACCACCCTACACAACCCTCCTCTGTGGGATAATAATAAAAAAATAGTACATAATATTCCAAATGTTGATGGAAAATATTCTGCACTATACTGCTATATCATCACTCACCAGATGCTCTGTTTCGTGTTTACATCCTCCCTTCAACAACTTCTGGTTCCTCGAATCTATTTTCAAACATGTTGGGAAGGGGGGAAGGGTTGGGTCATTGGAAGTGGCTGGGGGGCAGGTCTCATAGCTAGGGGAGGGGGGTTGAGTCACTTTAACATATATATATATATATATATATATATATATATATATATATATATATATATATATATATATATATACAATCAACACTTCAACCCGCCAGGATTCGAACCCACGGCCCACGAGCCCATGACTGTACAGTACAAACAATACCTCACTAATAGGGAATTGAATCCAGGACGTCTGCGTGTGAACAGGGTCCGGAATCACCGCGCCACCAGGACAACAAAAGCAGTTCTAGGCTTTGTTTTACTTCACTCAGTCTGTTCATTCGTCTTTGTTAAGCAAAGTGAACTTCCATTGGGGATTGCCCGTGCCAACTATGTGGTCGGAGTAAATAGGAAACAATAGGCTACATAAATATCTCATGAGTCCATATAGGGCAGGGACTTTTCCATATGCAAATTTAAGTTTTAAGAATACAAATTTTATCAGCGTATATAATCTGAACATTCTGAAATATTATGGTAAGGATTCAAAATCCATTTTGGAAATAAAGCCAGACAATACTTAAAATTAATATACCCTATGTTCAAATTAGATAGGTGTACACAAGTGATGGGCCTATCCTAAAATACTAATACAGTACTGTACTGATATAACGGTAACACTTTGGATAGTTCCTTTATTCTGTTTACTTGATTTCTGGATTTCAAAGACGATCCGAGCTCTTTTTAAATCCTACCCATACCAAGTCATAATAATATATTGTAATAAAGATGACAAGGCCGTTACATCCCGAGCTGCAGGTGGTGTTCTACATAGTGCCCTGTGAGTTCATTAACTTTATAAGTCGCTCCTTGCTCGCTTGTACTATAAAATAGACAAATGCAATCTATGTCACGAATTGTAAAAGGCTACACCTGGGACGTACCAACAGTAAGGAGGCGTATCATATGTCCAAACGGGACGAAGAAACTGCATTAATTGAGACTGATTGTGAAAAGGACCTTGGTGTGTATGTTGACAATGAGCTAAAGCTCTCGGGCCATTGCGAGAAGTGAATCGGGCAACTAAATTATTAGGTCTTTTAAGAAGGTCGTTCAGATTTCTAGTCCCTCAAGAAGGTCGTTCAGATTTCTAGTCCCTCAAGAAGGTCGTTCAGATTTCTAGTCCCTCATAACGATCTTGAAGAGTGAGGTGCTTACCCGTCTGGAGTAGCCTACTGTCACCCTGTCTGGTCTCTGAGATATGCTAGGGACTGTCGTTGATTGAAAATGTCCAAAGGAGGGCCACCAGGCTGGTGCCAGCAATTCGGCACCTCAGCTACCCTGAGAGATCAGAGCGCCTGCAATTGCCCAGCTTATACTACAGACGGGTAAGGGGGGACCTAATTGAGGTGTATAAACATCTCAAAGGGCACTACTCAGTCGAATGTCCTTACCTGGAGCTGGCGGACGCTTGCCCCACAAAGGGTCACAGCTCAAGACTGAAGAAGCAGTGAGTCCAGAAAACTGAGGGCAAAGTTTTTCGGAGTGAGAATTGTGAACTCTTGGAACAATCTGCCAGAGAATATTGTGACAGCACCGAGTGTGAGCTCTTTCAAAACCAGACTTGACCAACACTGGAGTAGATTCAGATACATTCAAGAGTTAGTGCATGCCCAGTACTAGCCAACAGTGCGTATCAGAGACGTGACCGACCGCCCAAGCAGCTAACGAGCCGATCAGTGGCGAAGTGGATAAAAGTAGACGTCAGGTGGGGAGGGTCGCTTGGCGTGTCTTCGGCTATTGGTGGCAGCAGGGCCGGATTCAGGAGTGGGCAAAGTGGGTAGCTGCCCAGGGGCCTCCACAATCTGGGGGCCTCCACATATCAGGGCTGGTCGACTTGAAACCACATGAATGACTCCAGTCATGTCTCACTTTTGTGTGTGTGTGTGTGTTGGGAATTTGTACACTATCAATAAATATACAGTTAATTAAAATTTTCTCAATGTTCTAATTTCCTCAATATAACTGCATTTGGCTTCAAAATTCTCCAAAGAAGTGTTCAAATTTCAAAATGCGCGCACGAGCATGCACACAAACACACACATCTTCCCTCTCCCCTACACACACACTTTACTTTTTTTACTTTTATCCTCTTCGCCACTGATCGGCTCGTTAGCCGCTTGGGCGATCGGTCACGTCTCTGTCACGCACTATTGGCAAATACTGGGCATGCACCGGCTCCTGAATGTACCTGAACCCGCTCCAGTGTCGGTCAAGTCTTGTCTTGAAAGAGCTCACACTCGGTGCCGTCACAACACTCTCTGGTAGATTGTTCCAAGAGTTCACAACTCTCACTCCGAAAAAGTTTGCCCTCACAGTTTTCTGGACTTGCGGCTTCTTCAATCTTGAGCTGTGACCCCTTGTGGGGCGAGCGTCCGCCGGCTCCAAGTAAGGACACTCGACTGAGTAGTGCCCCCTGAGATGCTTATAAACCTCAACTAGGTCACCCCTTGCCCGTCTGTAGTATAAGCTAGGCAAGTGCAGGCGCTCCAATCTCTCAGGGTAGCTGAGGTGCCGAAGTGCAGGCACCAGTCTGGTGGCCCTCCTTTGAACATTTTCACACTCAAATCTTCCCTCCCACACACACTTACCTTCCCTCACAAAAGTATCCCCTCACTAACCTACACAAGAAACTATGTTCATTTGTTAAATGTGGTAGCAACAATCTTTAAATTTGTATCGGCATTTGTGTTTGTAGTTTATATGTTTTAAGTAAAGTATTCATGTCTAATTGGGTAAACCTTATTCGTCTTTATTTATGTAATCCCTTTATCAAATTATACAGGCAAGCCCCTCCTGTTTATTTAAGTGAACCCTCTATATCTATTAGAAGGAACACGGCAGCTGATTGGAAACAGTAGTCAATCGACTCCTGTCTTTAGGGTCGTTGGGTCCCGCCAAGGCCAACCCCATTACTTTACACTGCTTCCTTGTGAACCATCAAAAATATTCGACTCCAGGCTCTACAGTGTGTTGTATCCGTTCTGCCCATACGGTTCCGTCTTTTCTTTTATCCTCTTCACCACTGATCGGCTCGTTAACCGCTTGGGCGATCGGTCACGTCTCTGTCACGCACTGTTGGCAAGTACTAGTCATGTACTGGCTCTCTGTTACGCACTGTTGGCAGGTACTGGGCATGCACCGGCTCCAGAATGTACCTGAACCTGCTCCAGTGTTGGTCAAGTCTGGTCTTGAAAGAGCTCACACTCGGTGCCGTCACAACACTTTCTGGCAGATTGTTTCAAGAGTTCACAACTCCGAAACGTTTGCCCTCACAGTTTTCTGGATTTGCGGCTTCTTCAATCTTGAGGTGTGACCCCTTGTGGGGCGAGCGTCCGCCAGCTCCAATTAAGGACACTTGACTGAGTAGTGCCCCCTGAGATGCTTATATACCTCAATTAGGTCACCCCTTGCCCGTCTGTAGTATAAGCTAGGCAAGTTCAGGCGCTCCAATCTCTCAGGGTAGTTGAGGTGCCAAAGTGCAGGCACCAGTCTGGTGGACCTCCTTCGAAAATTTTCAATAAACTGACAGTCCCTAGCATATCTCGGGGACCAGACGGGGTGACAGTACTCCAAATGGGGAAGCACTTCAGACCAATGTGACCCCTTGCCCTTTTAAAGGTCAGCTTTAAATACGTTTCTTAATTGAGATAATTTGGGGATTTAATTGAGATTCAAAGTTACTACTTTTGTGGATCAATAGTTAATGATAGATGAGGTGTGTGTGTTAAGCTAACGTCTGGCCACATGTAGCCCACACACATCTGTGACCTTTAAACGTATAAACATATAATACACACACACTTTGGTAGGCAGTGTACGAGGCACACAAAGATATGTAGAATAACATTCATACTGATAGACAAAGAAAGACAAGATCATCTGAAGATTAACCACTTTAACGTTGCCTGGGGACTTTGGGGGTAGGTTAGGTTAGGTTAGTTTAGGTAGCGTTTGGGTGGTTAATATTTAGATGAACTAAGCTGGGGTGTCTGATCTTCATGTGATCATGAAGAAGTCCATACCGATAGACAAAGAAAACATCATGACATATAAAGTGTGAAAGTGAGATACAGTATACCGGTACTTTACCTTGTGCCAGGATGTTCCACTGCATAACCCTGAAAGGCTGCGGGCGTGGTAATGGTGGCGAAGAGGGTGATGATGTGGGCGTGGTGGTAGTAGGGACGGGGCGTGGGCGATATGTACGGGGAAGATGGGGCGGGAGGTGGGCGAGGGGGGCGCGCACCCATGCTAGGAGCTCCTTCTGGTCACCCACGCCCTCTGGTACAGTCACCGACTCATCTTGACTATCCTCGCTATCTACTTGTGGCTTGGACGTGAAGCTGCCCATCCTGTGGCAATATTGATAATAGCTTAGCGGCATATAGAAAATTGCAGTTTTAAGTGTAGTGAAAGCACATAAAGATCTAAATGCATTATAATCGTCTCCTTCCTATTTAAACTATCTTAAATACTTAGCATTTATTAAATAAATAGTTAGTTTAACAAATTTATTGGCAAAGCTTGTAGTACAGTTTGCCTATTCTGAGTAATTCAGTCAGGTCTTGACACTGGGGGTGGTATCACTTCTCACTGCCACGCAGGACAGAGTATATGATGTATTTTTTTTGTGTATTAAATACATAGATATACAGTATACAGGTCCCATTTGAAAAAATCATGAGTTGAAACTTAGTGCAGGAGCTAGTCAGTAAGTAGAAATATCATTTATGGGGTAGGTATACGTGTGAACCCTTTATTAACAAATTCAAGATTTATAAAAAAAATAATAGAACTGTCCAGTACTGTACTAGAGTTAGTCCTCCAAATTGTTAACAACTGTAAATGTGGCCGAGAGATGGCGCGCGGGTTTGTTTATCCTTGACGAGCGTCGGCTGCAAAAACCCCGTTATGATGAACATTTATTTATTTTGTTGTCTTTAATCTTCATTATATCCCACGTTGCTTGTCTTCTTGTACAAGCCCGTAATATATGACGGTTACATTAGCCGTTCAGTAAAATCTGTCGTTATCAACTCTATACTGGATGTAAATATAACAATACAGACGGAACACGTACCCAAAACACACACCGACTTGACTCATAAAAATTCCATCACACAAGAACAAATCAATATTCCACAAATATTTATTCCTGTTGGTACGAGTTAAAACAGCCTACCTGTATAACTGTTCCACGATGAGTATCCACAGTTGTCGCGGTTTAAGAGAATTAAAGGGAAATCTATTGAGCATTAGCCCCACACGTCCGACCTGCACACAACCTTATAAGACTGTAACACCGACCTCCTGCTCCACGATTCTCACGATTTGCTTCCGTATCGTGTAATGCCGACCTGACACTAAGATTTATCCGGGCGTAAGTCTGTTACTCGCAAGAATATTGCACTGAGGGGGTGTGTTGACGGTGCAAGGACGTTGTCGGTGTCCGGTGGAACGCAGACGATTAGGTAACTTGTTTCAACGCGAATTTCGCTGGCGTTTATCGTACGGTCACTGCCTGGAGTGCCAGGGGCCCTCGTGTGTGTGTGTGTGTATATACATATATATATACATATATATATATATATATATATATATATATATATATATATATATATATATATATATATATATATATATATATATATATATATATAGTAACATCGATGTGATATCTTGCTCTGTGTTTCCGAGAAAAATTAACATTCCTTTTTCATTGGGCTGCAAGTTAAATTGCCTTTATACCATAATGACTGCGTCTGAAAACTTATTTTGTTATTTTTAACATAATCCGTTTTAATAACATTAAATTGTTATTATTATTATTAGTAGTAGTAGTCGTAGTAGTAATTATTGTTAATGACCAAGTGAGAAACTAATTAAAAAGTCAAACCATAAATCAAACTAAACAAGAAAACCAGAATTAAATTACGAGCTATTATATAACCCAGGATGGAAACTGGCTACACAGGTTGGCAGGATGACCAAGGTACACAGCGGGAAGGTGACGTGACCGGGGTGATACAGCCCCCACCTCGCGTGACCTGCAGTGTCTCCACACATCTCACGAGGTCACGTCACCCTTCTTTACCCTCCAACCTTGGTGTTCAGAAAATTCGACGGGATATAATGATTTTTAATTTTTAAGCTTAGATATTAATTATGTGTTAAAAAATCTAGATATGATCAGTAAGTTTCGGTAATATTAGATAGGTTTCAGTTGGATTATATGTTTCATAATATTAAATAGGTTTCTGTAACATCCAGGAATTTTTGTAAAATTTAATAAAATACAATAAATTCTGAGAAGTTTCGATAAGTTTCGGTGAGATGAAAGTAGTTTTAGTAAAATTGAACATGTTTCAGTAAAAATTATTAGGAGTGTACCATTCATAAAGTCGCAATAATTCTCAGTAATATTTAAGTTTAAGTAGTTTCAGTCGAATTATATAAGTTTCATTAAGACTCGATAAGCTTCAGTAAGTTTCAGTAAATTGTAGTTATTTAAAAAAACTATTTAATATTTTTGTAAGATTCAATAAGTTTTAGTTAGGTTTAATGAGTTTCAGTGTGATTTATTAAGTTTCAATTAGTTTCAGCAAATTTCAGAAGCATTCATTAGATTTAGTAAAAATTGGTGTTTTATAAATATTTTTTAAGATTTTGTTCGGTTGCTCACCGTGGAACTCATTGCACGGCATCATTGTGGCGTTTGTTCGTTAAGAAAGAACCACTTCTGGTACATGGAGGCTCTGCTGATTTCACTTTTTTCTCACTCGCTCTTACGGACTTTATTCTTTTTTCATCTAACCGAGAGAACCTTAGACAATATTCTATATCTTCGTACATTTATTGATAACACTTAATGTAAGCACAAAACCTAAAAATCTTTATATTTCCTGCCGGAAGTACTTCCCAATGAGGAAGACTCCCCCCCCCCCCCGGCGTGTGGGCGTGGCCTGAGCACCATCTACCAATAACGTCTCAGGAAACACTGCTTCGATGCCTGAGCCTCGATAACTCCCGCTCACAAAACCGGAACTTCTTTTTGTGTTTAACTTTTCAACGCTGTGTGCATTGATCATTAAGAGGTAATTCTCTCACCTTGGTTCTTAATCTAGAGTGAAAAAGGTCATAAGTAACTTCCTAGAGACCTTGCGTGCCAGGAGTGAATCGTACAGGCTTGAATGTGTTACAGGCCAAGCAAGATGTTGCCCTCGTAAATATATCTCAAACCACTTTCTATGCATGACATTCTGACTCGGAGAATATTTAATAGGAGATAAACGTTCATTCACAATGCGAGATGTTATCCATTCTTATACTTTATTTTTAAATAAAGGAACAAATATTTAAAAATACAAAATAATGATAAACTTTTAACATTTAGCAAAATTTAATTTCGGAAGAAAATAATGACTATAATAGTGGGTCAGAAGCGGGATTTATGATTATTATTATTAAGTTGTCAATATTCGCTGTTATTTTCTTGGTGTGATGGTTCTCCCAAATGAAAGATTCTCGATATTGCGAACTACATTTCATATACAGTATAATCATAGTGAACGGATTGAGGTCATGGAGACAGTTCATAAGAAAATAATAAGTAATGTAGGATGTAGGCTAGGACTGGACAGCTCCTAACCTGGGTCCTGACTCTCAGAACTTCATAATAACGAATATTCCTTTTAAGTGAAGAACCAAGAATCTCACTGGTTGATTTTTTTATTCATCACATAGCTAGCCAGCCTATTATAAAACATGCGGTGATGCACGAAGTTGATACGAGTCAAAAGCAACCCAAGTTAACACCACCGAGATTGTGGCCAGTGCACCTAATTAGGGCCAATTGCAAGAACAGTCGTTGGGTGTACGACGCCGTTTACGATGACCTTCTTGCTCTGATCTTGTTTCAGGAATACCACCCTTTTGAAGCTCTGGAGAGATCTCGAAGTTTCGATATTTTGAGTACAGCACTAGCTAATAATTCCCACCAGGAAACTTGTTTCAAGACTCCTCCAAAGCTTCGAAAAGTGCAGAATTCCATGTGTTAAAGGCGATATTGCTGAAAAAGACCAGGGCAAGAAGGTCATCGTAAATGGCGTCGTACACCCCATAACCGTTCTTGCAATTGGGCCTTAGAGAAAATTTAAATTAAATTATATCTGAATCATCTGGTACCAGCAGGTGGTGACTCCTTACAGCAAGAGGTCTCTGAAGGGTTGACAATGGTACTGTGAAACAGTTTGTGGGAAGATGTAGATATTGATATCAAAACAGTTTATATAACCAGAAAAAATGGATACGAAATGAACAATAACATTATTAATATGGCTGAGCCAAGCGGGGACCTTGACTCTTTAGTGGCACCTGATCTATACAGTAAACATCTCAAGGAATTATTATAGAACTTTTAGTACCATCTGCATTACAACATGTAACATGGTGTTAGTACCACGATTATATTTGTTTATTATTTTTACATTTGTCATAAATATATACACTTATTTACAGATTAGTGCAGTTGAAATGCAATAAGCGGGTGTAAGCGATACAACATGGCTGTTATAGTGAAAGAAAAATTACAATTACAGTCAGGATCATGTTGTGATATCAAAATATACAGGGTGTCCCATTTTATATAACTGGCATATTTAATTATTTTCCGTGTTACAGATAAAGTCCTGAAGATTGTAACTATGGAACGTTACGATGTGCCAACGCGGATTAATATTGTAGAACTCAAAATTAAATATCTCTTGTTGAAAATCAGAGAGCACTCAGAAGGTAATTTGAACGCAGAGATGCCCCGTGTCGTAACACTATTTTCACCTTCATAAAATATTGAATGAAGGTGGTAACGTGTGTTCATCTTAGCACGTGAGACGTCGTATAATAATACACACATAAAAAAACTGCCGTTAGCTGCAGCAATTGACCGAATTCCGAAGTCGATCTTTCACATCAGAAAATTGAGGTGGTCTCTGGCGTATTACTCCACAAAAATCTTCTGTGACCATATAAATTCCGTGTTGGCACATCGTAATATTCTATAGCTCAAATCTTCAAGTTTTCACCTATAACACTGAAGAATAATTATTCAAATATACAGATAGTTCTTAGAAATTTATACAATAAAAATGTGTTAGATATAAATGGGACATGCTGTATAATCATTGCAATGGTATTTCCTATCAACGTGACAATATATGTTATACAGTAATGTTTTCGAATGGTACAGTAAAAATAAAAAAATAATTGTTATAAACATCTTAATACTTCGACAATGGGTTTCTTTTGAGTTAATTTAAGAATAAGGTCACTTCCCACTTCGACTCTCCACAAAAGT